CACACACACACACACACACACACACACACACACACACACACACACACCAGACCAGTTCACACAGCTGTGGTTTTGAGTGATCAACAGGAGGCATGGAATTGAAAATGGCATGTGTGATCATGTCTCGGTGGCAAGTTGGACCGCTTGTGACAACTGTTTGTTGATTCATACCATATGTAGATGACTGGTGATTTTCTTTGCCTTTTTTAGGCATTCTTAAGGCTTTATTGGGATCCCAGAAAGGATATCTTTGGGTCAAATTGTGGCTTCATGTCATATTTTTCTTCTTCATATTTGACTTATTGTTGATGTTCAGTATTGATAGAATAATGCACTTAGTGATCCAGTTTGTGAGCACAGGGAACAATGGAATTGACGAATGGCCTAATACATTCACATTTATTTATTGCTGATTAACTCAGATGCAAAACAAACAAAACAGAGCTAGAATGCAATGCTTTAATATCTGCAAATTGAACATATTTTCAGTAAAGCCCCAAGGTGGTCTTAATCAGCCTTAAAAACATTTTCCAAGAGATTTTAGGGTTGTCTAAATGATACTTTGGCAACTACAAACAGTTAACAAGGTTCAGTTTACTGAGCCGTGACTTTCCTCTCTCTGTCCTTCCATGCACAGTTGTTTATCAGTGTTTTTCCCACTGTTGACGAAAGACAAGTCTTTTAGTCGTCCAGTCAATTGAACTATTTGCTCTTTGTGTGATATTTCGTACTCCACCACTCGAGGAGAAGATAAGCAAAGGTTGGAAATTTCCTACAACTGAAGACCAGCAGTCTCATTGTATATTGTCCACAATCTTTCTCAAAAATCCTTTTAGTTTTTAGTGGCATGCAACGTTTCTGTTCGTGATGCAGAACTTTAAAAAAGTTTCAGCCCCTTTAAAACGAGTTACAAGTAATTTCTGAGGTAAAGTATTGTTTGGAATTATTCACGGTGTTGGCCTCGTAACAGTGTGACTGCTCAGCTTCTCTGTTTCAGTTGTGTTTTGATAGTTATAGCCTCATGTCTCTGTCTCTGACAGCTCGTCTGGCTGCACACAGTGCCAGGTGTGTCCTGGGGGAGCAGAGGCTCTGCAGTCTGCCGCTAAAGACTGCACACCGTGTCGGCCAGGTATTGCACACCATGTAAAAGCACCAGTTTGCTTTTATGAGCACTTCCTACACCATAAGACAAATTTTTAACCAATCCACGTGGTCTTTAACAGGCATGCACAAGGCTCCCCATCAGACAATGTGTCAGATCTGTGGCAGCGGCTTGTATCAGATCCACTGGGGCAAGGAAAGTTGTGATGTCTGCCCAGAGAATCACTACTGCCCTGTGAGTACGGTTCAACCTCTGACAGTAGGTTAGACACCAATGTCCAGTGGAAATCATTTTCCACATGTTTGGTGATGGAGCAAATTGTTCTCACAGAGTCCCGATGTGAATCCAATTCAGTGTCCTAGTGACGCTTTCTGCCCAGAGGGCAGCTTGGCTCCAGGCTACTGCATGGAAACTTTCTTCCGGAAAGCAGGAGAGACATGTGAACTGGCCCCTGTTACGATTGCTCTGTTAGTAATTGGAGGAGGGGGTGAGTATTGATGCTAATAGGAATGTAAAAAGTGGCCAGGAAAAGAAGGAAGTGCAGAATTATATGGTGTTTTTGGAGATAATTTGGTTACGGTTACCATCCATTTACGGGTACCATCCATTTGTGCACAGTTTTGAGTTTAGTTATTAAAGCCGACAGCATTTGACATAGTTCTTTTTAGACACTGTACAGGAACTTCTGTTTCAAGTGACGTGGCGGCGCTGCATTTGTTTTTTAATCAATTTAAATGAACCACTATCCTCTAACTTTTGATCTGAATAAAGTTGCAGAAATGGACACTCATCTTTATGACTGAATGCAGCCCAGTCAGCTGCTATACCTAACAGCATAATGACATGAAATGGGAATCATGCTTGTACATCAATGCACTCTTTGTGGATTATAATTTCCTGTCATGTCCTCTGCTGTTTCCCTGTCTCCAGTCGCCTTACTTTTCATCATTTTAATGGTTCTGCGTCGTCGGAGAGACTCGGATGGAGAGCTGACAGTCGCCCGAGCCCCTCTGTTACGCAAAGAGCGACCTCAGGGTCGATACTATGGGCTGCCCTGCGACACAGAGCCTGTGTACGCCGGCTGGTGAACCACTAATGTTAGACAACTGACAGCAAAGGACTGATGGTAAAATCCTGACCTGGTGCCTTTAGAGATTTTTGTTTTTGTTTTTTAAAATCTACCAACCTTTTGAGGAGGTCTATTTGACAAATGTTATTTATAGACATAATTCATTCCTTTATGAATTATTTTAGTCTTACATTGTTACAGTTGTTCTGCTGAGACGTAAACGCTCCCTTTGTAAAGTAGGTTATTGGATTATGAGAAGTATTCTCGAGTGGTGGAAAAAAAATCTCAAGTTGGAGGAAACCTGTTTCTCTTATAAAAAGCACTTTTTTGTTGAGATAATCCATTTTCTTTGCATTCACCATTCCGGATGCATCCATTAGCTCTGTTGTGGCTCAGAGACAGAATTAAAAAATGTTCCTTGTGTTTGTAATTATTTAGGACACCGTGTGTTACTGTCTGTTGTTTGTAGGTGAAAGCATTTCCTCGCTGAGGTACTATTTTATGTTTTAAAGGAGAATAAACAAAGAAATTCTGATGTCTAACTGTTTTGTAATAATAGAAATACATCCTCTTACTTTGTTAGAAAACAAATGCAGTTGAGATCAAATTCGGAAGCCTCCACACTGCAAGGTTTGGTTATGTTAATGGGACTGTCCTCTCATCCTGAGTTGTGTGAGTATGTCAGATGAATGCCGTGGGTCCCAAAGGTTTACATCCTGTCGGGCTTAGATCTGATTTTACATTTCAGATTAGACCTGACCATGACCTGTGAGTCGAAGTGTTTAGTAAGTTGAAAATGTGAATGCCTTCTTCTTTTAATTGGTTCTGCTTTATAATTCGAGGAGATGATGAAACTGATATGACTTGATTTCAGTTTCTTAAAGAGCTCTTTGAGCATTTATGAATAAACAAAATATTTAATTTCACAACATTCTGGTCATTTTATACATATGTTTTATTCTTTTTTTATTAAATGTGACGTAATAATTGAAGAAGTCGTAAATTGATCATTTGTGGGATTCTGTCTTTTTATTCTTTCTTTTTTTTTTTTTGTCATTTTGGTCTGGTTGAACAGTATGATAGCAAACCCTGCAACAGAATCCTGATCTGACCGTGTTGAAATCACTGCACTGTCACATGGAGACAAAGATGACATTGACAGAAATAAATCAGGGCAAAAAAACACAGCTGTCAATAGTAATGATCATTCCTGCTATGATGAGTAAGCATTTCTGCCACCCACATCCACAAACAAACACACACTGACAAAAAAAGCAATTTTAAGCTGTTACTGCAGAGTTTCCCAGAGTACAGAAATAAAAAGGTGCTCTATGGTTTTGGTCCAAGAGCTCTGAGCAATTCTTTCCACGTTACGCACATATCCAGCTGGAGAGTGTGACAAAAGGCCCATCTCAAGACTAGATAAACATGTTTTCAGACTGTGACAACCAAGAGGGAAAAAAATACACAGCTGAGTTAAGCTGCATATCGGAGTGCAAGCTTCATATATACAAAGCAAATACTGGAATGCATGACAGAAAACAGGTGGATAAGAGGAGCATCTACCACAAAAAAAAACATATATATATTAAATGGAGTGGTCACAAATCCAATGAATGGAATCAAATATTTACCAAATTAGAAGTTAACCTAATTTTTGTTAAAAAAAAAAAAAAAAACAGGTACTTGCAATGCCCCTTTTCTAGGTATAAGATGTTTTTATTTGCTTCAAATCTTCACCTACATTTGCACCCAGTCATCAAGCAGTTGCTTCTATCTTATGGATACTTACAGATAACAGAGGATTTTCAATTTATATGACCTTGTAAATGTAAAGCAAGTACAGCCATGAAAAGAGTAAATTATGTAATCTTGTTTAATGTGCAAACGTTTCATATTTAAAACATGATCATTAAAATCAATTGTAGCTTTCACATGTAAACGTTAAAGGGAAATATAATTACAGATTTCCCTTAGAAATGTGGTTTATGTGTGGTATTCAAATGCATTATTTCATTAGTACAGAATAAAGATCAGTGATTGCTGTAAAATAGTAGTTAGTGAGACAATGGAGAACCTAATGTTTAGATATTGATGGAAATGAGGAGGCGCTGCTCATGCCTTACAGAGCTGATAGGTGGCAGTAACAAACATACGCAGAATTTATGTCATTGTTTAATGCGAAAGAGACAAGTTTGAGCCTAACAGGACACCGTCCTCACACTGGCGAAAAAATGGCGGCCGTCCTAGCGAGAAGGCTTTCTGGTTTGTGACTCAAGTTAATTATTGTGTGCCCCTTTAATTTGTCATGCGTGACTATTTTGACTCCACAGTAACATGTTTTTGCTGTACTGAACGTTTTAGCTAAAGCCACCGAACAAGCAGGGCAGCGCTACGTAACGTGTCCGTCTCACTCGTCTGTACGTGTTGTCCTTGTGTCTTCTTCAGGGCTGCTGAGGCCACTTTCTGCATCCGTGTGTACCAGGACACCCCAGACCTGTAAGCTGTCCAGCCTGGTCCAGCCTCCGTCTCTCCTGTGTTCCGCCACAGCCGCTGTCCGAACCTCTCCTCGGGCTGCAGTGTGTTACACAGCCCGGGGCAGCATCCTGCAGCGGTAACCGCTACAAACATCCAAATGTTTTCTTTAATTCATACTTTCCATACTCCTAGTGAGAGACCAGACAGATTAACTAATTATGCCAACTAAATAAGTGCTGTTCTTGTAACAGTGTTTAGTTATCTGCTATGATATGCTTTATTAATGTACTATAATAAAGACATACATGTAAATCATTAAAAAATCTTCCATATCAAATCTTGTTTAGAGAGAAGCACAGTTAGATAGCTCTGATTAAAGACAAATAAATAATCCTTGAGCAGTGTGACTATAAATATTAGTTTTTCCTCAATTTTGACATTGGCCGATTAGCATCTTCGGTTTGGTTTTAAAGTCAATTTCTTATAAATGCCTGAAGTCAGTTACTTCTTAACCTTCAGGTTTATGTTGGTGAGGTCAGGTTGAGGTTTACACTCACAGGAAATGTAAAATACAGCGAACTTTGGTCAACGTGATGTGATGGTTTTACAGTGTCCTCTGTAAAACTAGTGCAGCTGTCTTATTATTTAACTTGACCCCCTCCCAGTGGTAAACTATCCTTCTTCACATTACTGTAATGCAGAAGTTTAGGTTTTTAAACGGTTGTTGTTCTTTTTTATCCGGCGGAGAGGTTGCCCACTCAATGAATTAAAGGATAAAAAGCAAATTATGTGCTTGGTTTTATAACCTGTAGTCTGTTTGACAAAACTGTCGAACTTTATGATTGAAAGTGGAGTTTTATTCAATTTTCTCCCGACAACCTTTGTGCTTTCTGTGTTGTTGCAGGGTGGTGCCACTTGTCCCCAGTCTGACTCAGCAGCCATGCAGAAGTCTGACGTACTTTAGCGTGAAAAAGGGAAAGAGGAAGTCTGTAAAATCAGTGACCCAAAGGTTCATGCGGCTGCACTGTGGCCTGTGGATAAGACGCAAGGTGTTTGTGTTTAACAGTTAAGCATCGGGCTCTGTCCAGGGAATTGCCTGTCTGACTTCTTTTTTTTCTCGCAAACAGGCTGGATATAAGAAGAAACTGTGGAAGAAGATGCCTGCCAGAAAGAAGCGCCTGAGAGAAATTGTGTTTTGTAACAAAACACAGTGCATTCTTTTAGATAAAATGACAGGCTCATATTGGAAAAGGAGAAACTGGTACGTCAATGATCCCTATCAGAGGTATCATGACCGGGTCAATCTCAAAGTGTAATTTGCAGATTCTTGCTATGGGTCAGGCTTGCACATAATGTAATTATGGTCTACATGTACGAAATAAAACTCTATTCCTAAAATGTTTTGCTTTCGATTGACTTTTGAGGATATCTGAAAAAAATAAAATAAAACCAAGTTTTTAAACCAGATTTAATTAATCTAAATTGACTTAATCAACAGCAGTAAGTCGAGTATTAGAGCCATAATTTGATATGTCATTAACAATAATGTCATCACAGACACTGCTCTTTGTTTTGACCATGATCAATTCTAAACTGAAGGTGGGTGTTCTGGCCTGCCAGAAAATATAGAACAAGTTAGTAGATAAAAGGTGAAGAAAGTCTCCAGTGATGTCTGTCAGCGTCACATTTAGTGTTCTTTCTATACAGAAATAAAAATTCAGAGATAAATATCGTAAGAGGCCAGCATTTCACACAAAAAAAATCACAAACTATTACATTTTCACAAAAATGAATGTCATGCTGCTGGTAATATCTCTGTCAATGCACGTGTACAAATTTGCAACAATTTTCGTTCTTTACTCTCAACTTCATCATTGCATCGATTTTAAACAAAATGAAATCATCTCCAACACTGACACATCTAACACGATTAGTTTTTTTTCTCCATAGTTTATCCATAAAAGGTCATCTTTCATATGCATTCTAAGTGTATCTACAACATCAGAGGGAACGGCGTGTAAACAGAACAGTTGTACCTGAGAAGCTTTTGTTTCAAACCACAGTCAAGGACACAGATACAATGATGTGAATCTACCGCACAAGTCCACCCACCAACACAGTGTCGGTTTATGCAAAACCAGGTTCAGGCTCAGAGAAATAAGTACAGGATGAAAACATACAATGCATCACACCTTTGACCAATGTAGCCACTCTAATTCAATCCTTGAAAATAGCAGAAGCAATAAGATGAGCGCTGGGTTTAGCATTGCTCAGCTAAGGGCAGAATATCACACAGTGATTTTAAACATGGAAAAAGAACCGTGTTTCTGTGCAGTAAATACCTAATATTCTGCCAGACCTACTTGTAATAAACTTTAAACTGCCAAATAATTAGTGAAAAGGAAAAACAAGTTTAGAAACTGAACATTAGATTGTCAAAATCAGTCTGTTCCACCACAAAAACCTCAATGTTTTTCTTTTATCTGTTGAACATTTATAATTACATAAGAAATTAGGTGTTAACAAAGATAAACACAAGCAATACTAGTAAGCAGTTATGTCAACAAATAAACTAATTTTGGCTATATCAGAGAACTGAGGGCAGTTGTGTTTTTTTATAGACAAAGTGCTACAAAGAATAGTTTAAATAGAGCGTATATGTTGGAAATCATCAGACCACACGTGGAGACAGTAATATCTATGATACTTATATCTGTCTTTAAGGCGAAAGGATAGAGGTAAATAAGATTCATGTCGGTCATTGACGTCTGACTTCACATCTTTACAAATATAGGCCGCTTCATCAGTAAATGTTTTCGGTTAATTTGAAAGAAATTCTGCAAATGGATGTGTCTCTAAAACGACTGAAGGGGGATATAAAAACAGCCTTGCCTCTTTTTTTTTATTATCCTTGGCTTGTATAACATTCTCTTATGTGTTCCTCTCAGTTCCAGCTGTGGTTTTCAGTGAGAGTACATTCTACATAATGGACAGCAGACTAATGACTACCGGGAAGACACACATGCGACTGCCTGCCCCAGACCTGATATATAAAAACAATAAAATCATAATAAAGTACACACAAACTGTACATAACCATAAACGCAATAACAAACAAATGCTTTGTCTATCAGCATGGAGCTCATTCATTCGATTGTTCTATCTACAGTAATCTTTAAACCATGAGCCGCTAGCTATATCCTGTATATAGAGGGGTCATCATAGGTCACTTTGGTAATACCATATTCCAAAGCAAGGCTGCTTCAGTCATGTAGCTTTTGGCCATTCTGTGTTTTTACTTCTTGCAGCAAAGGCAGCTGGAGGAGTCTTGAGGACAGTTTCACATGGCTTCATTGTTGGTGGAAAAAGCACTCCTGGATCTTGTGAGAGGCCTTAAGACTCTAAGAGGAGGCTAGAAGGGAGGACAGAGGCAAATAGGGAAATGGAGTCAAGTGAGCTACAATAATAGCCACAAATAATTTTTAGAGGACATAGCTGGTACTATTTTGTATTTTACAAGGAACTCAAGCATCTATATTAACAATGTGATACATTATTAAAAGACTAAAAAACTTCAATCTCTGTCAAGGCCCATGTGTTGACAATGAAGCCATACATAAGATAAATAAGGCAAGATAGATAGACAGATAAAGACTTCATTGACATTATAATAACATGCAATGTGCTGTAGTACAAAGAAATTGGCCAATTGACTGATGTAAGATTAATAAAGAATCTGTAAAATTGTAATTACAGATATTGGTTACTTTAATTGTTAAATTGATATCAGAAATATTCTGTTTGTTCATGGAAATATTTTATATCATATAAATGTTGATATAAAATGTAGATTTATTTATATCTAGTTGTCTAGTTTTTCCTTAAAGTAATAAATCTACAATATTCAGAAATGTAAACTAATGTTGAATGAATTAATACAAATTGCTCCATTCCAGGGTGTGAGTCATTGCAATCAAACATTCATATGTTCTCAAGTTAGTTAGTGCATCATTGCAGAAATCCTCTGAGCAGTCAGACTCAGCATTAGCATACCATGGTGATTCATTTGGCCACGCAGCTAGAGAGATTAGTGAATCAGTGTGTAAATCATCACTCTCAAGGGGGCAACTAGAATCAGGCAGCAGCTGAGAAACCACTCTTACAAGGCAGTATACCTCAGGAGCTTTCCGTTTACTCAGCTTGAGCTGTGGAGAGCTCGATGCTGCCCGCACCTCCTTCCCCAGCTCCTCAGGCTGCTCCGAGGGTGCTGGAGAGTCAGGTGGAGTGGGTGTGGAGGGTGGGGTGAACTGAGGTGTGATGGGTGTGGCTTCGGAGTCAGAGGTGGACAGGGATCGGGACAAAAACTCTGTAGAGTCCAATTTTTCCAACCTCAACACCTCAAACTCGCTCATGTCAAAATCTGTACCATGGAAAAAGGTTTAGAGGAGGGATGAAGAGCAGAAAAATGCGCCTGACTGCAGCCCAGTGGACTGTTTCATTTCTGTAAAACTGTAGTTGATTGTTTTGGTTAGCTCGAGATTAAGGAAGTTCATAATATAATACATTGTTATTCTGCAGACTGTGGAAGAGAGACAGAATAATGAGGGAGAATCAATTTGATGCAGCACAAACAGGGATAACAAGCCTGCAATAAGTCTCCTCCGATCTTCTTTTGAGCTCATGCAGGGTTATAATATGGCTCTTGGGTTATACTCCTTGTTATATTATACTATAAAAGAGGTAGTTCAAAACACTTTCAAATGTTTTAAATGGGTATAAAATGGTGAATTAGCTTTCGAGGGTTTGTTATCACTGTTTTTTCCCCCTAAAAAAATGTAACAATTTCATTAAAACTTTAGCGCTAATAATAAAGCCAGCCTCTGTATTCAGAGCCTGGTGTTCTCCTACATTTCTGACACTTGAGCTGTTGTGCTGCTATTCGTGCTCACCAAATAAGTGTTAATCCTCATGCACATTCATACTGTGGTTCCACCAAGCTACAGTTGGCCACTTAAGAAAATTCTTAAACATTTAGACCATTTAAACTAAATATCTTCAGTAAAGAGATGGAGATCAAAAGCATTAGCAGGAAATACAGATAAGCTGAGGACGAAAGATAGCGTTGGTTTTGGTCTTTTTATGGGATTTGCAGACATGGCTGTGAGCTACATGTCAGTTATTTTTAGCAGATCGTAAGAATGGAGTTCTTTCTAAAGGTCCCTGTTGAATAAGAAGGGTTTGGGTGTCTGATATCTACATATATTTCTGTCAGATGTAAACAGCGGACTCTAAATGTTATTCTATTTTTAACTATCATCTGGACGTGTCCACTGAGACAAACAACAGGATCCACATCTTGTTCAACCAGGAGCAAGTCCCTCCCCACCCCCTAAAGCTCCATGTAAGTGTGTCACAGGACGGTTAGTCCAGTGGCACTGTGAGGCCCGACCTGCTCCAAACAGGAAGGTGGGCAAAGGTCAGGGGGTCACTCAGGAAAGGAGAGATACTGAACAATATCTGTGGGCCACAACCAGTTCACACAGGAAGACAGATGTCGACATGCTCGTCTGTCTTAAACAAAACATAGTTGGCGTGTTAAGCTGATAGGAGACGCATTGCGGTGTCAATATTCATTAATTGTGTTGTGTTTTTCAATGTTTTCAATTGAAATGTTTATTTAAAATATCACTATTGGCATGCTGATCCCTTTGTCGGTCTCAGTGCTGGATGGTCAGAAAGCTGTGTGCCTGAAAATGTCTCCTCACCCTTGTAACTCTCTGACTTGCTCCGCATCATGGGTCTGGTCCGGTGCTGAGCCGCTGAGGGCTGAGCCGCGCAGGGGCCGGTGTCAGCCGGGTCAGACTGGTATTGTGACAGGTCCTGCATGCTGAAACTCCTGAGTCGGTCTGATAGAACCCCTTGCCCCTAAACGTGAAACATCAGGCCTGCTATTAGCGTCAGCAGCAAGGAGAAACAGAGCATGACATCATATTTATGTGCATAAACTAATAACTATATTAGATTTTCCAATTTCAAATATAATTATTCAAAGCTTCATTCAGCAGGCACTTTTTATCCAGCCAGTGGCCGCAAAACAAAAGGCCTTGTATTCAAACTCCAATGACTTTCCACTGTATCTGCAGGCCAGAACAAAACAAGTTCAGAGTCTGCATTACCTTTGTTGCAGCCATGACAGCAGCTGTGGCTGCCACATTCAGCCCTTTCCTCCCAAAATGCACCAGTGTGTCATAGCTTTTGTCCTTTGCTTGGCAAATGTAGTCATCAATGTCCTGATATAAAAAAAGAAAAGAAAAAAGACAAACATGAGTCTCTCCCTGTCGTCGTTTCACTTTTCGCACAGTATATACAGTGTCTCCCATATGGTTTCCGCAGATTTTGTTTCTTTAGAAACCTCACTTGTGTGTTTCCTCACTTACGCACAAAGGAAAGGAAGGGCAAAGAGAAATGGAAGATCACCATGACATTTCCTCTCGCCTGCTTAGCAAACACATTTCTAACAGCTTAAGTGTGAAAGAAAATTGGCACAAAGGCACTTTTGTCCTGTCGACTGTAACAGCGCACAAACTCTGTTAGTCACAAAACCATCCGGATGACGGTTGAGCTGGATCTGTGTATGTTTATCCACTCTAAACCTCTCCTTTAGGAACACCAGCACAAAGACAGGGCTCCTACCTTTTCTTTTGAGGAAAGGGTGGGATGAACAAATTTCTTGTATAGCACACCGGAGCCCTTTGTGTAAGGGGACAGCAGCCACACCACAAAGGCTATCTTGAGTTCATAGTAGAACGGAATCCTGTGATGAGGGCACAGCATGTCATAAAAACTTAAACGAAACATGCCTATGACAAGACAGATCGCATGATAAGACATCAGTTGTAAACTATAGAACTTTTGGTAAATCATTCGGATTGGAGTTCACTTACCAGCATAAAAATAGATCTGTAAATACCTCCACCGCCATGAAGAGGGCAAATATTATCCAGTACATCATCCATTTCACCTGCAATGTAATGAGAGGTGAATGTCATTAGAAACAACGTTGTGCGGAGATACAAATAGTCCCATTCTACCATTTAAAGAGGAAATACAAATATTGTACTCACATATTCTTTCACATCTTTTGACTTCACAGCTTTAAAAGACGAATATGCAGGATATAGTGTACCAAAAACAAGTCTAAAAGACAGAAAATGTGCCCATCAGCCCAGTATCAAGGAGTCAAATATTCAGATGAAGCATAGCTTTTGTAATAAATCATTGTCTTGTACATTTTGGGGTAAGATGGTTTTGTTAAAAAACCCATTTTCCAAAGTAGATGGGTTTGCTGTGCATTATGAATAGTCATTATTCTCTTCGAGAAACATGCAAAAAAAGGTGAAAGTGGGGAAAGCTGCTTTATCTTGAATTTAAAAAAATGCAAGGAGCTAAGTTACTAGTTTTCTAGTGTCTTCATTTGAGGTATAATTTGAGATGTTTAGATGTTCTTGTGGCGCTTTGTTCCATAATGCTGAAAATGCCTGAAGCAGGTGACAGATCTGGGCTAATGGAAGGTCATATCTGCTCCCCTCCACATTCACCATTTATCATGCTGCTGTCATACATGCAGAGAGGTTCAGTGTTGTCTTGCCCTAATGAGAATGTCCCCAGAAAATCCACAGGAGCTATTAAACAATTAAAGCAACTTAAGCTGGGCAGATATTGCCACAGCTAATTTGGTTTTAAGCTGCCCAGCTGACTTGTCCCCAGGGGTAAAATTAGCTTACATGTGTCGTCCTTTTCTTTCACTATTTCTATTGGCTTGCAACAGACACCTGTGTTGCATGCTCCGTGCTCTGTCAGAGTCTGGACCCTGTTGCAGGGATACAATCACGCAACAGCTGTGATGGCGACCTGATCGAATTACTGACCCACATCACGTTGCAGCAGTTCGGCCTGGTCAGTTAACTAACAAACAGAGTTTAGGAAAACAAGGACACTCCAACTATCAGCTCTGCAAGAGCAGACAAAAATGACTGTTAGAGCTCGGTTCCAAAATAACCTAAACAAGCAGCATGCACAGGACAGAGCCGAGGCAGCCCAACATGTAAGGAGATCTTATAGTCTAAATTTAATTGCCTAACTATTTTAAGGCCGTGCCTGTTGGCACACTCAGTGTGTCATTTCGCTGATCTGTGCAGGTACAATACGCTGTCAAAAGAATTGTGATACATATATTCTTTAAACGTGAATAACTCTGGCATTGTAACTCGAGAAGGCTGACCCATCCCTTTTGTTTTTTCCCAATATGGGACATCCACACTGAACATTGCTCCACTGAAGGACCACTCCTGTTGTTCTGGAACTCAGTCAAATGTGGGCTTCTAACTGCTGGAAGAGCCTCGTTTTGTCATTTCGAAACTGGTCGTGGATTATTAACCCAGCAACGTCATGTCTTTGTCTATCATTTAAAAAACAACAAAAAAAACACTCATTTGATCCCAGTCAGTCTGCTGCGCGCTGCCAGTCTGTAGCCTGTTTAGGCCCGATTCTGTGCCGTGACTGAAAAGGCAAACCACAATGCCGCGGAAAACAGGTTGCTTGGTCAAAAATTAATAGACCGTCACCTGATCCCCCCCCTCACAAACTGACACTGTCTTTTTTTGTGCGTGTATATAGAAATTTGCGGAGGCTCGTGTGCGCGTTCCGTCTCCACCGCCAGTGAGCGTCTCTGACCCAGAACCTGCAACAACCAGGGGGACGCGTCCTATCGCCGTCCTAGGATGTGTCGGGAGAATATAGAATAGAATAGAAATAACTTACACCACGAGTCTAGAGATGATCCAGGAGACCATTGCGCTGGGAAGGCGGCAGGACGCGCTGTCTGCAGGGAGGAGTTTCCTCCAGATGACAGGCGCGTCCACGGGCTGCGGCGTCCGCACGCACGGAGGCGGCGGCGGCGTGAGACAGAATAAACAGCCAGGCGGGCTACAGCTCTTGTCCATAGATGGCAGTGTTGCATTGCACAGACAAGTCCCCGTGGCTAAAATTGGGTTTTCGATGTGTTGAATGTTTGCAGGTTTATGAAATATCGTTAAAGGTTGAAAAACAGTTGCTCATCTCAGTCTTTTTGAGGTCATATAGTTGAGAGAGATTGAACTTAATGTCAACTATGAGGGGGAAATAGTCAGAAGGGAAAGAAATCACAACTGTGTAAAACAAATTAAGATAAAAAAAAATGAAGATAGTCCATGCCATTCCTGGAGCCACAGGCTGCATTTGTCTGAAAACTCGACTGAAAAGTCTACAGAGGAACAAACAGGTGACTAGCTGCATCCCCCTGTGCTTGAAAACTAGATTTTTATTAGCAATTTTCTTAACGTTTACCAGTAAAAGTTCTAATGCCATTTATTTTCAGCTTTGCAAATTGTGTGATCACAATATCCATAAAAGAATGAAGATAAACGTTTATTTAATGTAGGACCACCTTACAAGACATAACCTTGATGTAATTGCAATTCTCTAACCCAAACAATTAAATTACATCTAATGAATTAACCTACTAGTGAAAATTGGGGCTTTAAGCTTTCCGGATAAACTGTCCAGTTGCCAGCCCACCCCTACATTAACAAGTGATGAGCCGAACTGGTTCAGCCAGATAGTCAAAGCACTGTTGTGGACTATATACCTGAAGTTCAGGGATCATACATCCCATAACCTTTAAACTTCACCACCATATGTTGAGAAAGCTGAAGCAAATGTCTCAGGGATGTGACTTTGCCTGCCCTATAAAACCTGTCCTCTGGTTACTAATGTGAGAAGAGCTGCATTATTAAAGCTACAGTGCGTTGGCTTTGTCCAGCTTTCGGCCTACAAAGTGATGCAAGAGAACAGGAACGAGGTTTGGTTACAGGACAACAAAAACTGCTAAGGGCAAGGCTGTGGCTGCTAGAAACCTAATCCCTCCCTCCATCTTAAAGCCAACTAAATGTTTAAGACTAGTTGTAGAAAAGGTGCAACAAATTCGCTCAGAAATTTAGATTCACAATAAAGGTGTCATATAATGGGACTCTATTTTTGTCATTCTAAATTAGATAAAAACCCAAGTATGTTTGTCACAGGTATCTTAGTCCCAGATCAGCAAGATAATGAAAAGCTTTTTCAGTTTCAATTTACCCTATACCGTTTCACTGTGTATATGGATTTTTTTCTTTAAAAGAATCACATCTTTATATCCGTCACACAGGTGTTTTGAGTCACCAGAAGTGTAGTTTTGCTGCAAAACACTTTCTGACCTGCTGAGTGGACTGCTTCACATTTCCCAGAGGCTTTTTCCTGATTAGAACAGGTCGAACGTGTTGTTTGCTGTAATAATAAAGAGCAGCTTTTAAGTGCGGTCAATACTGTAAGCAAATCAGGCCTAGTAAATACAACACATTTGTACCTTTCGTGCTCCTTGTTAAATGTTTATTTTTTTCTCTCCATTAAAATAGAAAAATTGTACACACACAACACTTCAACAACACATCAATTCTGCACTAACCAGCTTCTGTAGGCCCTCTGTGTTTTTCTGTGGAGTAGGGAACTTAATCGTGAGGCAAAGTTAAACAAGCTGAATGTTAATGCAAAACATGAAGAAGAATGTGTACATTTCTCTAATTAGTGAACATTACACATATGACCACAGAAAGAATGGACAAATGTTGACTGTACAGAAGTTAACAAACAAGAGCAACATTCACTCATTACCTCTAGTGTTAAAGATGTTGGTGGTTAAGTGCTGGTAAACTGAACAGCTGTTGCTAACAGAGAGATAAAAGCTGCTGCTCATGACTGATCTTCTGTACAATGTGATTCATCAACAGTTACTGAGTCACTTATTTGGATCATTAATAACCAGGTAACCCCACAACCAGTCCTTAACTTAGGACAAAAGAAGAAGAATGAAACACTGGAGGCACAACAGGCTTTTCATACTTACATTATATACATCTCTCTAAACCTTCTGTTTGACTTTGGATAATAAAGACATACACGAGTTGTCCTCTTATAATAAAATGCAAAACAAAACCAAAAAACAACACTATTTTTATGCTGCAATAAGAAAAAAAAGAGTTATACCAAATGATTATGTCTAGCCATCGTATGAAGCAAGTGGGATGCTCGGGATTGTAAAACCCTGCACCAGAATAGTCTCTGTCCTTGTGCTGTCAGAGCACTTCACCTCAGCTCCTCAGCGCTGCCAGTCTTGACTGCATTGCCTCGATGTCTTCCTCTGACTCATCATCTGAGGCTGCAGTTGCTCCGGCGGGCTGCACATCTGGCAGGGCGTCTGTGACTTTGTTTGGTGCTTTGCCAAGGGCACCTGGGAGAGCAAGCAGATCGATTTGGTCAGGTGTAAGAAAATGGCTCGGGCTTTAATCTTTCAAAATTGAAATATAAAAGCCTCATGCAAAACACAAACATAAAAGTGGACAGTCACCTGCTGTAATCTCAAAGAGAATCTTGTCAACTTCCTCCTCCGCTGCTTCCTCCATCTCCTCTCCATCTTCCATGCTCTCAAATGTGTCTTCCAGCATTTCCTCGATTATCCCAGCCTGAAAGATGACACAAAGATTTGAACATTTTAATTTCAATGATTGTATGGTGCATGATAACCACTCAATCACATTGCAATCATTTTGTAATAGCTTTGCAGTTATAGATGAGTATGAATCTGAAATCATAATACAAATAAATTGTGTGAAGTTGGGCTATCTATACTCATAGTTTGAGGATAATTGACAAACTATACGTATGCTCCGACATGCATATTTCAAGACTTTTCTCTGAAATCCAATTACTTTTTGACTGGGTGAAACAAACTGGTAAACATGTCTCTGTATTGGAAGATAGAAAAACACTATAAAAGCGTATCTTAATAAACATCTATTTCTGATTACGAATCTATAATGAACAAAAAACTGAATGTGTGAAAGAGAAGCACTAAATGTTGCTTTACTTAAATAAATATAATACATATGTTTAATAATACACATATTTTGTTCTCTTTACGAAGATTGACCATTAAAAAAAAAGAAAAGCTTTATTCAAATTCACGACTGAACACCATAATTGTCTCGGACGGTGCTAACCTTCATCATCTCCTTTGATAGCTCCCTCATGGTGGCCTGGATCTCTGGGATTTTTACTAGACTCTGCATGGCTTTCATAACCTCTGTGCTCTTCTGCAGGGCCCCAGCTACACGAAGCACAGCTGGAAACAGAACAAATGTTGTCACTGACAGAGAGGAGCAAAAATGGTGGGATGGGTGAAGAGCAGAACTGTTATTTTTCCTCATCAGTGATGGCCAAGCATCCGCTGTCACACTCACCAAGTTGATTCTTCATGCTGAGAAGCACAGAGTTCATCTGAGCTTTGGAGGCGTACAGTTTTGTGACAGCTCGTTTTGACTGAATCATCTCTTTTGCAAGGATCACACATACATCTTTCTGGCCTTTTTTAGCAGCATCTTTAATCGATCTTTTAACTTTATCTTGTTCTCTTTGAATATCTGAAATAAAATTATATGTGGTTATAAATACAGAACATAGACATCTTCAAAAAAGGGATACAATGAGATTCAGCTCAGCATTTAAAAATAAAACAGGATGTGGATTTACATCTGATTGGCATCCATTTAAATTTAAACGCTGGATGATAATCTTGCCTTTAAATAGTGTGCAAATTGTTCATATACGTTGGCCAACCATGGATAGTTAGTATTTTAGAAGCAAACAAAAATCATCAGTCTTGTGACTAAAAAAATTGCACCACGCAAATAAATCTCCTTGAATTATACTACTGGTGACATGAAATTACACTTTTGTTTAATAATGGAGTCATCATGCTCCTTTGTACAAGGACATGCAATATTACCTTCATACTTTTGAGGGATACTTGAAAACTACATTAAAGTACATTTCTTACCTCGTATTTGTCTGTCAATCACTCTCATTTCCTTCCTGATTTTCTGAGACCACTCGTTGATCTGTAATGAGACATTAAGTCGATACATTTAAGATTACATCGTATAACCATAACAGTGACAGTGTGTCTGTAATACTTATTTATTCGAACGTGTATTGCTAGACAAAAACTACATCTAACAGCTAAACTGGAATAGATGATAAGGTCCCCAGAAAAGAAGACTGTCCGTGTTTGTTTACACTGATGGTACTGACAGAAAACTAAGTTAGCATGTATGCTATTTGGCTGACGCTTCAGGGCAGTATCAACATAAACATGTGGAGGGGACAATAATGGAAATAATGAAAGTTAACATTACATAGACAGACTATTTATATTCAGCAACGGTCATGTCAGTTATTTAAAACAAACGTATGAACAGACAGGACGCCTACAACTACGGTTGTTTAACTGACAGCTAATGCTAGCAAGCTTAGCTAAAGACACTCGTTTGAGGCTTACTGTGTAAAAGACACTGAAGGATTATAGGAAAATGGTACTCACTAAGTCTTTTGGAGGTTTTTCTGGTGTTCTGCCGAACAGACCCATGTTACCTACTATGTTAAAAGCCAAGCTACGATACCTGACTTAAACTAACTGGTTAGCCGAGAGTGTTCCACTATCACTTCCTGTTCTCGTTCGTGGCCCTTTAGGTCGAGTACAAAAAAGGATACACCTTCAGTCTTGACGGTTCTCATTGACGAAAGCAACACAAGAATGTTTAAGTGAAATAGAAATCAGACCAGGCACACGATCTGCAAGATTACGTAATCATTGTAGACTATTTAAAGAAAACCAAAGTTTGCATTTTAGAAATGACAGTAAAAAAAAAAAAAAAAAAAAAAAAAAAAAAAGACAAGACAATCTCAAGAAGTTATCTCTAGGTTTTATGGCCTTCTCCCTCTCATTGCTGGTTTGGGAGCTACCCTATGGCTATCACAATATTTGTAAAGACAGTTGACTTGATACTTTTTAAATAAGCCATGATAGTATCTGTTTCAGTTAATTTTTACATTTAGATTGAACTTTTATTTCTTGGACGATGGACACATCTCCTCTTTGTCCTGTAAAATTGTTATCTAATGGTTGAAGAATAACTGTACTATGACTGAACTGTCCCAAAAGTGTCAGTTTTTTGGGGGAATTTTAAACTGAGCACTGTATGTATACCCAACTTTGCAGGTACAATGAACCACTATATTAATTTATTCACGATGGATTAAATGACCAGTCCATTGCATTCTGCGGGCATAATAATTTATTCTTAGACAATAGTATAACTAAAAATGTCCTAGATTAGGCCATTTTAAAGTGTCCACATTCACATCACAAATATTCATGAAGAAAAAATGAAAATATGTTTTGTCATTGTCACAAGTCCAGTTAGTTACAATATCTTAAATTTCAAATATCTATAAATGAACAGTTTATCACATTTAAAACATGTAGACAGTTGCTGCTGACCTAATGGATTACTTCCTGCTATAAAAGCTTTCTGGCAGTACTTTTTTCCCATCAGATTAAAAAAATGGAAATGTAAGGGAATCTAATCCCAGCACAGCCACAAAGTGCTTTTGCAAGTCTGAAATGATAAAATATACCAGAAATGGACAAAAACAAAAAAATAAACAAAAAAACAAACAGAAAAAGACAAGCATGGTTTGATGTCTCATCTCATCTGAGGCCAGCTTCTTACAGTACAGGTTTTACATTGCAACTTCAGACTTATATATATTTAGGGCAGTAACATCCCAGTTGAAATATATGCTTTGGTGAGAGGCAGAAGGAGCAGGTTTGTTTTCCATAGACCAGTGGTTCAAACATGACACTGGCACTAGCTTTAAACATATGTTTGTATTTAAATAAAATGTAATACAGAATAGCATAGAATACATAATAATTTATCTATTTTTCATAATTTCTTCTCTCCATTTCCCTAGATTTTGATACACAATAGCTATCACATCTACTGTCACGTGAAAAAAGTGTAAAAAAAATACCTGGCAGATTAAATTCAGGGTAAATTTGTAACTATACGTCACTGTTTCTCCTGACGTATTCGAACGTAGCTCTTTGGGTTTCTAGATGTTTCTATAAATGAAAGATCAGCGAACCAATCACGTATGCCCCATGTTTGACAAGCAGCCAATCATAGACGTTTGGGGGCGGGCTTGAGGAGCATCCAGTCAGTCAGTCGGATCCACCGGGTGATGTTAGGGCCGCCGAGGAACAGGAGAATCCGCTCTGGACATCATAGCTCCCGGGATTACGCTGAAAGAGTTTGCTATAAACGGCTTGACTTACATAACAGCTAGTAATTCAGCTAGTACACCCTCCGCTAGTAGAGCTGTATCTGCCGAGCAGGAGACTCGCTTTGTCACATTTTGTTTTAGAATTGTAGATATTTTCCCTTAGAGGTGTTTAGTGCGGTCGTTGCGGAGAATTAACTTGGGAGGTAATTTAAGAGCGCTCATCATGTCAGTGGTAGGGATTGATGTGGGTTTCCAGAATTGTTACATCGCCGTGGCCAGGAGCGGTGGAATTGAAACCGTTGCCAATGATTACAGTGACAGATGCACACCGTAAGTATAAATGTTGACAGACACCATCGCGGTGCTGCGAGTTTGTTACGCAATATCTGCTCCCGGGGACACGGGCTGCGCGTGGTGCACAGTCAGGGATGAGGATGGGGATGATGAGGATGATGGTGGCAGTGAGGGGGGCCTGTTATTGCCGGTTTATTTACATCCACGGTCGCTAAAATGTGGGCAAAACCGCGGCCCGTATCGGGGATTCTAAAATGGCCCATTATTCGTACAGACCACCACGAGGCTGCGCACTGTGCGACAAACTTATCTGAGTTAACAACTCCGGAAGGTCACGGCGTTATTTTTTTTTATGTATCGTGATTAGTTTAGCTTACGATGTGTTGTCATGGTTTTTTTCCCTTGGTTTTATAACCGACAATGTGACCGATGTGGCCTGCTTGACAGCTGCACGCTTATATCTTCAAGATCCCAGCCCTCCCAAAAATGATCAGATAAGCAGCCCATCGATAAACGATGACGTTTTTTTTTGTTAAAAAAAAGCAAGCTAAGATGGATTATTTTACTGCAAGAAGTCATTCACACGTGTGTCTGGCTGTGCCAGCTGTGTTTGCTGCAGCATCCTGCAAACAGGGATGTGCAGCTGCACAGGAGCATGAGGAGGAGATATTTTTGTGGCAAGGTGAAAGCAGGGTGTGCCTTGTCACTGTCAGACTGAGTGAAATAGATCTGTGCACTTTGTGAAGCTGGAAGTCATCATCTCTCTCAAAAAAACACTGGATTTCTGTAGAAGAGTGCTTGGGGTACTTTTCTTTTCTCGCTGGTAGACGAGAGGCGCTCCGTTTTGATGTTGGACTAAATCGACTCATTGCCCCAGTTCACTGCGCTTCCTCAGACTCCCTCGTGACATTTCCTCAATTTTAGTACGCAACATTTCCCTCAGTGTAGTTTTTTCTGCCATGTCTGTGAACACTTCTATGTTTCTTACGGCCTACCTAATTTACTAATGTGTTTATTCACCTTTAGGGCTTGTGTGTCTCTGGCCACCAAAAATCGCATGATAGGCAATGCAGCCAAGAGTCAGGTAAGATCATGAAAAGAGTTTAGTTTGATCTATTTTTATTGTCTATTTTGCTATGAACTCAGCATTTCTAAGAGAATCATTATTATGTCAGCTTCACAAAAGTTACCTTTTCCCCCCCTCAGATGGTAACAAATTTCAAAAATACAGTGCATGGCTTCAAAAAGTTCCATGGCAGAGCATTTGATGATCCATTTGTTCAAGGGGAAAAACCCAAACTGCCTTACAGCTTGCATAAGTTGCCCAATGGAAACGCTGGAATTAAGGTAAAGCACCTTCCATCTGCTCCTTTGCAGTGATGTCTGTTTTCCCATGTGTGTCTGCACACTTCTGTTGCTTTGACCAGACCACACAGCTGGCCACGACAAGACTGTGTTATGCACAGATCTTTGTTTATTCCGTAACCCCCATCGCCTCACAGTCAAAAGCATCTTGGATGTGCTTATCGCATTGTGCCTTCAGGTGCGTTATTTGGAGGAGGATAAAGTTTTCACAGTTGAGCAGATCACTGGGATGCTGCTCACCAAACTGAAGGAGACGTCAGAAAGTGGTCTGAAGAAGCCGGTGGTGGACTGTGTCATCTCTGTGAGTGATGGATAAAAGAAAGCTTAAAGCTGCCGGCGCAGGTCAACACGTTTCTGGAGGAAACACCCTGATTTCTGGTCTGTGGGTTCACAGGTCCCGAGTTTTTTCACAGACGCAGAGAGACGTTCGGTGTTTGATGCCACGCAGATAGCCGGGCTGAACTGCTTACGGCTAATAAACGACACGACTGCAGGTTTGTGTTTTGGGAGGACATTTAAAATGACAGATCTTCTGACTTGTTAGATCTTCAAAATGGGAAACTTGAAAGAAGTGGAAGGTGTGACATTCTAGTTCTTTCTTGTCAACAGTTGCTTTGGCTTATGGGATCTACAAACAAGACCTGCCAAATCCAGAGGAGAAGCCAAGAAACGTGGTGTTTGTGGACATTGGGCATTCATCATTCCAGGTCGCTGTCACTGCTTTCAACAAAGGCAAACTCAAGGTGAGCCCTCCACTGTTTTCCCTCTCAAACCTCCAACCTGTTTGTAGAAGCCAGGCTCAGCCCTCCCTGTGCTCTGTCAGGTCCTCGCCACAGCATTTGACCCATACCTTGGAGGGCGTAATTTTGACGAGGCACTGGTAGATTACTTCTGTGAGGAGTTTAAGACCAAGTACAAGCTCAGTGTGAGAGACAATCCGAGGGCTTTGCTGCGGCTGCACCAGGAGTGCGAAAAGCTGAAGAAGCTCATGAGTGCCAACTCCTCCGACTTGCCTCTCAACATAGAATGCTTCATGAATGACATTGATGTTTCCAGCAGAATGAACAGGTACGGTTTTTATTTGGTGTTACCACCTGAAAATGCATCTGTAATGTGGAAGCATTTTTAACCCTCCCTATTTGCAATTCGCAGGACACACTTTGAAGAGATGTGCGCCCAATATCTGATGAGGGTGGAGATGCCCCTGAAAGTAGCCCTTGAACAATCAAGTAAACAGCTTGGACTTCACAGGGATTTGTTATAACAAATAACAGAGAAATATACTCATTAATGGATGTGTTCTGTGGCAGAGTTGAGTCGGGATGACATCTATGCAGTGGAGGTAGTCGGAGGAGCAACAAGAATCCCGGCCATTAAAGAGAGGATCGGAAAGTTTTTCGGTAAAGACATCAGCACCACACTCAACGCAGACGAAGCCGTAGCAAGAGGCTGTGCCCTACAGGTAGGAGACAATAGGTCCTTTGCCTGCTTTGTATCTGAAAGAAAGACAAACCCAAAATGTTCAGATCATGTACAGCCTGGTAAATGTATGTTTCCCTGTGTGGTGCATTTGGATGCAGTGCGCCATATTGTCTCCAGCGTTTAAGGTTCGAGAGTTTTCCATCACTGACGTGGTTCCGTTTCCCATCACTCTCCGCTGGAAGTCACCCACCGAGGATGGAGTGGGGTAAAGGCATCTTAATTAGCGCTACCCAGCGATAGAGAACAATGCTTTACTCTGTAGTGGACTCTGTAGGTGCTGACTGTGCTGACTCTCTGCGGCCTGACTTTGCTTTTTCATTTGCTGCATTTCTGCACAGGGAGTGTGAGGTGTTCAGTAAGAATCATGCTGCTCCTTTTTCCAAAGTGATCACCTTCCACAAGAAGGAACCCTTTGATCTTGAAGCCTTTTACAGTAGCCCTCAGGAGCTCCCCTACCCCGACCAGAGGATAGGTAACAGTCCCAAATCTGTTTTTAATAGTTTTCTATAGAGATGCTGAGATGCAGCAGCTTATCATTGTACCAGCTAAACAAGTCTACAGCAAGTAATTTGTTTCATAGCGTCTGTGTGGCTTTCTCCTTTGTGGCTGAGTTAAGCGTTGACAACCTGAATGGTAACTAGGAGTAAGACTCCCACAGATGTGATGCAGTGACTCAGCTGATTCACGCTTGTGTTTGTTGGGTTGATGTTTACATTCAGGTTGGCTGTCAGCTTTTTCATCTTTCACGGGTCTGTCCTAAGAGCACGTGCTGATTTCCTACCCGTCTGTTGTTAGGCTGCTTTTCCGTGCAGAATGTGGTTCCCCAGCCAGATGGCGACAGTTCCAAAGTCAAAGTCAAAGTGCGTGTCAACGTTCACGGCATCTTCAGCGTCTCCAGCGCCTCGTTGATAGAGAAGCAGAAGGGAGAAGGAGAGGACATGCAAATCGAGCCAGAACCGATGGTGCAAAATGAAGGCAGAGCAGAGGAGCAGGTAAGATGAGCGGAGCCAGCAGAGCTTTTGTGAATTCAGGGTTTTTGTGTCAGCAACTGGGGGACGGACAGCAGTGAGAAGCAGCCGTTTCTTTAGCCAGAAAAAACATGGTGATCCAGTGGCCTTTTCAACATGTTTCAGATCTTTGTAATTCATAGATTTTTGTAGAATATAAGTCTGCTGTATGTATCTTATATTGATGAGATTTAATATCTCAAAACAAGCTTTTAAAAACTATTAATGGTGGTGTGTCTTAGACCAAAATGCAGGTGGATCAGGAAGGGCAAAGCCAGGGGGAGCAACAGAACGAGGACAACAGTTCCAGCAGTAAGGTCAGTCCGGATACGTTTTAGGGTTACGTTCAAACAATGAATAATAATTTACAATGCCGTTACTATAAGCAGTCCATTCATTCATGGATTTGCCGCATGTGTCAGACAGTAGCAGAAACCAGTCCAAAAAACGTGATCCACATTAAGTTTTAGTCTATTTTATAAGCATTACAGTAATACGGTCATATGAATTGGTCTGAACATTTATTTGGTTTGCAATGTGCTTTATGTTTGAAGATCTAATCTGTGCTTTTCTTTTCAATACCAGGAGGGGGCAGCCGGGGAAAAGCAAGACCCAACAGCTGGAGGAAGCAAGCCCAAAGTCAAAGTTAAGAGTACTGATCTTCCCATCTTGGCCAACAACATCCGACAGCTCGACAGTGACGTTCTTACTAATTTTGTGGAGTATGAGGTGAGAGTTGATGCTGGCCTTTGAAAAAGCTGAGTCATGCTCAACCCTTGAATGACATTGCATGATTAAACCAAAGAGGCATATTTATATGTTTAAATAATTTCATTGAGATGATTTCAATTTAATAGTGGAATGTACTAAAATGATCGTTTAAGTAAATGAAGACAGCTGTGACAAGCTGTCTCGCAGTTACCTCATATTTTTGTATGAATTGTTTTATATGACAGGTTTGTTGATCAGTAGCTGGCTTTTGTAAAGCTCTGAAATACAGAGATACACTCAAAAATCCCTCTTTAAACTTTACTGTGGGAAAACAGAAGCCTTGTGGGATTTGTATTCAGAACTGAGGTCCTGAGGCATCTGAGATGGATCACACCAAGCACAGGGAAATCAGAGTGTCTGACCTGTTTCCTCCCCTTTTCTGAATTTTTGGTTATGAAATGCAAAATGAATTAGTCACCAGTGTTAATTTTTTATGCTATATTTTTGTTGCTTTTTGTTCAGCTTCTCTGATATCTTACTGTTTCTCTCCAACAGCGTCAGATGATTAGCCAGGACAAACTTGTGAAAGAGCTGAATGATGCTAAAAATGCTGTGGAGGAGTATGTTTATGAATTGCGGGAAAAACTCTGCGGGATTTATCAAAAATACATCTCAGAGGAGGTATGGTCCACAGTTTTTCACACGTATCAACAACAACCGTCACTCTGATATTATAAGCACTATCTTAACAGATGAACACCAGAGCACATAACCTTATTAGTTGGGTTGTTCATAACAGGACAGTAACCGGCTGACACTGATGCTGGAGGACACAGAAAACTGGCTGTATGAGGAAGGAGAGGACCAACCAAAGCCAGTCTATGAGGAGAAGCTCGATGCACTCAAGGTTTGTCTTCAGTATCAGTCAGTATTTGAACACATTTACAAACTATTGAGCGTCCACATATCTGCACATGGCAATCCTCTTAATGGGAAATGTTATCTGTCAGAGGTTGGGTCAGCCCATTCAGGAGCGGCACAGGGAAAATGAGGACAGGCCGAGAGCTTTTGAAGAGCTGGGAAAGAAACTGCAGCTCTACATGAAGTTTGTAGACGCCTACAGACAGAAGGTGAACTCTCTTGAACTGCTTATATATTTTAATTTTTTTCTCGAAAATCCGAGACCTCATGAGGATTTCCTTTGTCACACACATTCTCTCTTAGGATGAGCGTTTCATTCATTTAAATACAGAGGAAATGAGCTCAGTGGAGAAGTGTCTCAACGACAGTATGAGCTGGATGAACAATAAGATGAATGCACAGAGCAAACTTGCAATAACTCAAGATCCCATTGTTAAAGTAGCAGACATCATTGCCAAAATACAGGTATGTAAATAACCTTTTAATATTTAATTCTTGTATTTGACGAGTGAAAACAATTAAACGTGTTTATTCTTCATACCAGGAGCTGGAGGACATTTGTAATCCAGTGGTCAACAGGCCGAAGCCCACCGTAGAGGAGGCCCCTGAGGCGAATGATCAAAACAGTGGAGCTCATAATGGCCCGACAGCTAAGCAGGGAGCAGAAGGAAGGGCAGATGCAAAAGGGAGCCAGCAAACAAAGCCTGGCACGAAAGAGATGGAGGTGGACTGAGGCAGGCGCCCGACAAACAACTCTATCATCACTGCGTTTGCTCTCACGCACCATTTAGACCGTAGAAACATGAATTCCTGGGACTGCCTCTCAATCCTCACCAGCCACTTTAGTGAATTAGTTTTGTGTCCTTTCCCAGTGGACTTAACATCAGAGGTTTTTGTTTTCAGCCTTTCATCCTCATGTGTGACAGTGCTGTGTGTTACTCTCTCAGAGCTTTGACATACATGAAAAATAAAAGAATGCTGCAACTGATTAAATTCTGATTCTGACTTTAAGCTGTTAACTTCGTACCATAAGCTTTGTGCTCTCTTTCCATTCTCTTAAGTGTTCAGAATCATTAGTAATTGCTATGGCCCATAAGATAAATTGCTCAAACAATTGCTATTGCAGAACTATTGTTAGTTTGCAATAATCTAAATTATATATATATATATATATATTTTGTATTTAACCTCTTTTGAAAGATATCTATGTTTAGAAACTGTAAATATTATTTTAGCAAATCTAAGCAGCCAGCGTAGAAATGTACATGTACAATGTTATTAGTTTGATTTTGGCAATGCTAGACACTTCAAATCTCTTTAGTAAGTGATGGGCTGGCTGTTTGCTTTTTCGTTTTCTAGCATTTTTTCCATGTTTAAATTATGGGATGTTAAGATGGAAAAAAATAAATACATGTCTCTGTAAGACAAAAAAAAAATCAAGTCTGAAATTAGTTGATTTGTAGAGGCTAACCTGAATTAAATTTACCACATCAATCTTATGATTTTGTCCCAGTGAATATTTGAGACGTGAGCAACACAGTTGGCACAAGATGCTTCTGTGATTAAACATGTATGAATTGATCTCAAATGAGTGCGAATTTGGTTTTTAAAATGGTAAATGTTAAAAAGGTAAATGTTTAAAAGAGCAGAAAGTTTGAGGACATAGATTAGTTGCCTTACTGAACTAGTTGCCGTACTGAACAATGATTTATACTAAGCCATGTTTTTCAAACACATGGTACAATATGGGGATCGGTGTCACGTGTCAGCTCCGCAATAAATGTAAATGTTCTATTCTTGTTAATAATTCCTCTTTAATCATTTTCTAATCTGATTACCAGATTTTCACGATGTACATTTAATCTGATGCTGATTTCATAACGGAAATGTTATGTCAATAACTTGTTGCATTCAAAATCAAAAAAATATCCTAAAATATATGCAAAATATGTACAAAAAAATCACAGCACAGACTTTTAAAGCGGTTATAAACGTTATTGGACGCCACAGCTACTGTGAGGCATTAATACATTTATTGTGAGCGGCTCCTTTAAACTGGGGCGTGGTCTAACGGTTGTTGTTAACTGACGTCGGACGTTACGTCGCCACGGAGTAACGGGCGGATATTTTCAAAATGGAAGAAATGGCAAAGTTTTGGAGGGGAACCGGAGAACGATGTTTGTTTGCTCTCCGATGATTCCTGCACCCACTTCCGATGTACAGCACTGATCGAGGAACTTTATTACAAACTTCCATGCACCTGCAAGACCAAAAACCGTCAGGATGAGTGTTTCTATCGGCGACAGCATTGAGGTGAGTTTTCCTTTGTCAGGCTAACGCCCACAGGCCGACATTGACGTGCAGTGGTGGCGTTAGTTGGCTTTAAATTAGAGCTTAAGTTTACAATAAAGTAGCTGTTTAAAGGAGTTTTTGATAGTATTTGGTAGCTGGATGAAAAAAACGTCAAGTTTGTTGTTTTTTTAATTTGAAAGGGAATTATGCTGATGTGAATATTGTGAATACACACAAAAGTCACTCGCATATAACACCAATTTTGCCAGCGTTCCCCCATACTATAACATATTTACCTTAAAGAATGATGATTAACAATATCAGCGTTGGCTGAACCTCCACCTGCCCCCGGTGAAACCTTAGCCAGGCTCTCCTGGGACAACACGGCAGCGGGTTGACAACACAAGGGGCTGCTTGGAAACAGCGTCCTCTCGCGCCTCGTGAGCGGCACGAGAGCCGGGATAATGAGAGGTTTTGGTTGGCCAGATGACGGCGTCAGGTGTTGGTGGCTTGTTTGACAGTTAACCTTTGTTGTGGTGGGATTTCCTGCCGTTAGTGGCTGGATTGACTGTTGTACAGAAGAGGCAGCATGTCGCAGGATAGAGGGATGGGGTCTGACGGAGACATGGGGTTTGATGGAGACTTGGGGTTTGATGGAGATATGGGGTATTTCTGTCAGGACCTCTCTGCTGGCTCCTGCAGAAATGACAGAGAACTTTCAGCACATGCAGGGGGCATTGAGGTATGGGCTTTTTCAGATCCTGTCACTGGAGAGTTGGTGTTTTCCTCTGAAGTCATCTTTTAGTTTTCATTGTGATGCTCCATGTTTGTTTTTCTTTTTCTTTGGATGCAGGACTTCAAGGTCCTCACCCTCCTTGGCAAAGGCTCCTTTGCATGTGTTTACCGTGCAAAATCCATCAGGACAGGTCTTGAGGTTGCTATAAAAACGGTAAGTCTATTTCCAGCTTTCCATTTTTTTTTCGACAGCTTCAGTTGACACACAAGCTGTTGCTAACAACAGACTCAGGTTATTACACCTTTGTTCACTCCCAAGGGTCCCGAGCGGTCCCTCAACTCCCTGGAAATGATGTTTTAGTTGCGTGCAGCCTTTGTGTTCGACAGATTGATCATTAGCCCTCTCACCAAACCGCTCTGTGGTGGCACAGTTTAATCCTCAGGGTGGCGGTTGTATAATTATCCCTCCTGTTCCATCTGCAGATTGACAAAAAAGCAATGCAAAAAGCTGGCATGGTCCAGCGTGTGACCAACGAGGTGGAGATTCACTGCCGGCTCAAACATCCTTCAATACTTGAGGTAACAGGGGCTCCAGCTGATTTTTTTATTTTTATTTATTTTTTCGCTGAAGAGTTGAGCCTTAAACTCGGATCCGGACAAATGTGCTCACCTCCTGTTTGTCTGCTTTGTATGTTTTTTTTAAAGCTTTACAACTACTTTGAGGACAGCAACTATGTGTATTTGGTGCTGGAGATGTGTCACAATGGAGAGATGAGTCGCTACCTTAAAGAGCAAAAGATGTCTTTCTCTGAAGATGAAGGTGAGGAAGGATTGTTGTATCTTTAAAATACAAGAATGATGTCACAGCTGAGGTTTTTTGCCTGTTTGGGGAGTCCGTCTCTTTAAAAAGATATTCTTTTTGTTCCACAGCAAGACATTTCATGCATCAGATAGTGAAAGGAATGCTCTACTTGCATACTCATGGCATCTTGCACCGAGATCTGACCCTGTCCAATCTTCTGCTGACCAGCAACATGAACATAAAGATAGCAGATTTTGGCCTGGCCACTCAGCTCAAGCTGCCAAATGAGAAGCATTTCACTATGTGCGGGACACCCAACTATATCTCTCCAGAGGTGGCCACTCACAGCGCCCACGGCCTGGAGTCGGACGTGTGGTCACTGGGGTGCATGTTCTACGCTTTCCTTATGGGTCGCCCCCCCTTCGACACGGACACAGTAAAGCACACGCTGTCCAAAGTGGTTCTCGGGGAGTATGACATGCCCGCGCACGTTTCTCCCGAGGCCAAGGACCTGATCCACCAGCTGCTGCAGAGAGACCCCGCCCAGCGGCCCAGCCTCTCCGCAGTGCTGGACCACCCCTTTATGACCCACAACCTGCTGGCCAGGACCAAAGAGGTGGGGCTGGGGGACGAAGGCTCCATAGACAGCGGCATTGCCACCATCTCCACGGCCTGCACCTCGTCCACCTCGGCCAGCAGCGGCACGCGCCTCCAGAGGCGAGCCAAGCACATGATCAGCTCGGCTCTGCCCAACCGCATGACGCCCGTCCCCAGCCTCCCACGCCACCCCAGCGGCGCCTGTTTTGAGGAGGGGGAGCAGTGGCTTCAGCAGCCGGCCCCGGACAGATTTCGCAGGGAGGGCCGGGCAGAAGGCGGGTTCCCTCACTCCCGCTTCCTCCGGAGGGCCCATTCGTCGGATCGCTGCGGTTCGGCCGCACCAGGACAGAGTTCCTCTCAGGCCGAGCTGGGGAGATGCCACTCAGAGGAGAGTCTGGCTGGAACAGGACGGCAGGTCTTCTTCATGTCTTCCGGTCAGCACCAATTCTCAGAGCACGGCAGGCGACCCTCTCCTCCTGTCAAGCAGTCAGCAAAGTAAGGACGTCCTGATACCCTTCATTTTTCTATTTTTTTTTTTTGTTGTTGTTGATACTAACACACCTCTTTTTGTTTCAGCTCTGGGTATTTAACAACAGAGATGATGCATCCATCAAACTTACAGTTTCAGGACCTTGAAGGAGTTTCTAATTGGCTCAATAATGAGGGTAAATTTAAGAGTGTCCGCCTTGTGATGACTTCTGTGTATGTTTTGATGAACAATGACTCAAATGATCTTAGCTGGTATATAAACGATTCTATACTGGCTTTGGGAAAAATGTTAAGGAAAAGTTGTGTTGTCTCTCAGGTTTAGGACAGAGGCCCCCAGATGGCAGCGCTCACAGCAGCGGTGGCAGCTTCCACAGCAGCAGGGCCCCTCCAGGAGTTCACAATTCCTGGACAGACAAGCCCATGGGCCGAGGTGGGAATGCCCAGCACCAGCCGCACCACCAGCTGCCCCCCAACCCAGATTCATTCAGGGAAAACGCGCCGGGAGAGTCGCATCCTCTTCATGGCCGAGATTCAAAGCTCCCTTCAGCCAAATCCAGCACCGAGAAGCCGAAGAAAACCCTGAGAGACATCGTGCCTCCTCTGTGCGCAGCCAGACTGAAGCCCATCAGACAGAAGACCAAAAATGCAGTCGTAAGATCTTGTTTTCTGCGTATTTTTGTCACTAAAGCAGCAGTTTGGATATTCAGTAATGCCAAACTCCCCTTTTCCTTCCAGGTGAGCATTCTGGACACTGGTGAAGTTTGCATGGAGCTGTTAAAATGCCAAAACGGGCAGGAAAGGGTCAAAGAAGTCCTACGGATTTCCTGTGATGGCTCGATGGTAAAATGACTGTTTTATCGTACTAAAAGTCATGGACTTAAGTTTTCCATACTTGACCGACTCATGTCTCAAGCCTCCTAGCATGGAGAAACCTGCTCTTTAAAAGCTGATAAATGCTTGATGTTGCTATCTTTTGTAGGTGACAATATACCAGCCTAATGGAGGAAAGGGCTTTCCTGTGCTGGACTGCCCGCCAGCTCCTCCAGAAGATATTCTCATTTGCAGCTACGGGGACCTTCCAGGTATTGGGGCGGACACATCAGTAGCATCTGAACTCCTGTAAGATCAGAAATCAATCTTATCCAATTTTTTTTCTTCTTAGAGAAATACTGGAAGAAATACCAATATGCCTCCAAGTTTGTGCAGCTTGTGAAATCCAAGACTCCTAAAGTGACCCTTTACACCAAGTATGCGAAGGTCATGCTGATGGAGAACTCTCCCACTGCGGACCTGGAGGTTTGCTTTTATGACGGTGAGTCCCAGCTGCACGGCGGCCGCACAGCGCCACCGCTACCGAGGCCCTGCGCAGCACCAATGAAAAAACGTATCCACATCACGCAGGAGCAAAGACCCACAAGACGTCGGAGCTCGTGCGAGTGGTGGAGAAAAGCGGGAAGTCGTGCACCGTGAAGGGGGAGGTGGGCCTGAGCGGCCTGAGCCCGGAGAGCAGGCTGTACGTGGAGCTGTCTGACGAGGGCCACAGCATGTGCCTGTCGCTGGAGGCCGCCATCACAGCCGAGGAGCTGCGCAGCACCAAGAAGGTCCCCTTCTTCCCCATCACCATCGGCAGGTACAGGGAAAACTTCAGTCAAATTACGAATTTTTTGTCCCCCTCTTCTACTTCTTTTTTTTTTTTTTTTCCCAATGCGACACGTATTAACAAATGTTTTGTCCCAGGCGACCTGCAGCCACAGACACTCCGTCCTTGTCATCTGTGACGTCGCAGCAGGGGCCTCCTGATACAGCCTCCCCCCCTAAACCTCCACAAATCACTCCTTCAGTAAGTGCCTCGGCCTCAGAGACGCACAGATTTTGCTCAAAAAGCAACATATTTTGTCAGACCGCAAACAGGCATTTTCAGCCACCTACAAGGAGTAAAATGACCTGTTTAGATGTTAACTTGTTGTCAACTGTTTCTGTTTCATTAATACCACAGTACTTCTGATACCATAAGGGACCTCCCTCCATGGTTACAGAACCATGATTATCTAAACATTGTCACAGCTGACAGGCCTTGATTTCACACAGCTGTGGTGGTGTTTGATCTGCAAACATTTACTTGCAGATGATCTCCTACGATGGATCTGACTTCACCTCAGCCAGCCTGAGTAAGAAATGCTCCCCGCTGCGACAGGACCTAGTTCAGAGCTCAGGGAAAGTGGTCAAGTCCATCTTTGTGCCCAATGTTGGATGGGCATCCCAGGTAAATACATGAATGCATCCAATATTCGATAATAGGCACACGTTTCCTTTTTACATTGAGTGGATTTCTCTTTTCTTAAAATGTAATTATTTTTGTACCCGAAGCTGACGAGTGGAGAAGTTTGGGTGCAGTTTAACGATGGCTCCCAGCTGGTTGTTCAAGCTGGAGTTTCATGCATCACCTACACATCTCCAGAAGGGCGGGTCACCAGGTACGAGATGTGTTCCAATGCTCATGTTAAGGTCTTTTTTTAACATGGCAACTGGAGGAAAACTGCTTATGTCAGCATGTAGAGCTGCTGCAGCCGGAGCATAATTCTAATGCTAATGAGGATTGTAACTATCCTAATGAATGATGCCGGAATGTTAGTCCTAGCAGCTGAGCAGTGTCCTCTCTCTACAGGTATAAGGAGAATGAGAAACTGCCAGAGCACGTCAAAGAAAAGCTGCACTGTCTCTCCACCATTCTCGGACTGTTGGCGAACCCATCGGCGCATCACCTACGAACTCACTAGCACTTGTAGCTGAGGACTTGAAAACAGCATTAGAAACCTTTTATACTCTCATTTCCCTGGTGTTGTAAATATACCTTGTCTCTGTTGTTTTTACATGTACAAAAGACTAAGATTATGAAAAGATATATTTTTTTTACTGTGACTGTTGTATAGCTTCTTAAATAGTTCGTAAAGTCTAACCTTCTGCTGTCTCCGTACCTATCAAATGTGCCATCGATAAGTGCTGTTGCAATAAACATGTGGAGACTGGGTGGAAAACTGCTGCCCCCTGGTTTGCAGTCTGCTCTTTCCGCTTAATAGAAACATGGTCATTTTTTGTTTAAAAGAAATTAAAGAGTAGTTACCTCAACTGAGGGGTTTCAGTGATACACAGTTAATAAACAGCGACACACTCACACAAGTGCCAACACGGTAGTGATTAAGACAGGAGGTTTCACTCATTTATTCTGTTGAATTGGCCCTTTAATTTAAAAAAGGTCACAAAATTGTGGATTCTTAATTACAGAACTGATACAAAACAAACTGTACGGACGTAAGCCTAACCGCATATTCACCTGTTGTACAAGACACCCAAGAAGAAAACATTCAGGTGGAAGCTGGGAGCATGACACTGTCTGGGTTGCAGAGACAACCACCTGGAGGATTAACCATTTATTTCCCATTAAGAAGAACAATAAGGAACAGAGTATGGGACTTGGTATAGCTGTGTGCACAGATATCAGCCTTTCCAACCTAAACAGGGACACACCCTCAGCACGGCCACGTTTCCCAGGCCAGAGTCTCCTGAAACCTGCTGTTCAGCTCAGGAGAATCACAAGCAGATACTAAGCATTGTGTTTTTTTTTTTAGAAAAAAAAAAGCCTCACTATGCAGCATCAAGTGAAAACAGATTTTCCAGAATGTGGCCATCCCTCTGTTGTCCCAGGGAGACGCTGGTGAGGTGGCAGCAACGACACCACGGTCTACTACAAGCATTTGGACAGTTCCCTTGGACACTGATGAAGGATGGAAGATGGCAAAGAAGGGCTCCATGGGACAACAGGAGGCAAGCTCACAGGAATGCAATGATCTGCAGGTTGGCACTCGTTCCGACTAAAAATGCTCATCGTCCCTTTGACAGCGCCGTCGGACCGCCCAGCATCTCACCGCCCCTCGACTTCATGTCCCCTTATTCAAAGACGCTCCTGTCATTCATATAAAATAGTTTCCCCATAAAATCTCAATAAAATAAAGTTGCTCTTAGTAGATGTCAAGACAAAGATATAAAGAAACTGAAGTAAAAAATAAAAATAAATCACAGTGAACACTGGGAACAACAGCTTGACTTCCCCCCACCACATTTAAACATGTGATACAAATACAGCAGCTTGAAGAGAAGGCGGGTCAGAGAACTGAGTTAAAGCAAACAGCCGGGACTGTTGATTTGGTTAGCAGTAACTAATTTTTTTAAGAAGTGCTATCCAGGAATAACTCCTAATTAGGTTTTAACGATCACAAAATAATCAACGCCCAATTCACTCGGGTGGTCTGGGGTTCTATCTACGTCTTAGTGAATTATCACCCAATTCTTTCACTAATAAAAGCGATGAGCTACACAGCAGCCCAAAATATGTCGATCAATCAAGAAGATTTGCTCTCATTACAGACACAAGCACAGAACATGGAGATTTCTGTTACAAGAGACGGGAAACCCATGAAGGGATGCACAAAATCTCACAATATCCCACTGGAATTCGTCAAAATCATGGAATTTCTCAGAAAACATCCACAAACATAACAAAAGGGGAATGTGATCCTCTGGTCGTACGAACTAGAGCGACTCCGACTCAGCCTTTACGGGTTCCGTTTGTTTGCTGGACGCCAAACATCCGGTACTGGATGTGCGGAAAAACAAGGCATGCACGCTGGGGTGCAACAACAATCATTAAAAATAAACACGTAAAACTTGGTCACATGGTAATGGAGGCTCGCGTTTCTTCCGTTTTGAGCTTTGAAAAGTAGTAGCTCGTTTTGCTCAGATGTCTTTCCTGCAAAGCAAATTTGATGGCACTCAGAAAAACACACTACGCTCCGACTGATCCAACTATTCTAGCCTGTGTGTGCTGACTGGGGATGTGCTCTGCTGTCATGGTGTCCGCAGTCAGCCTGGGATCTGTGGAGTAGTGTTCAAACACCCAGCCATCTCTTCTTCGTCAGTGGTATTGACCGGAGCACAAACACACATGCGCTTGTGTGTAAATGTCTGTGTGTGTGTGTGTGTGTGTGTGTGTGTGTGTGTGTGTGTGTGTGTGTCTGGCGTGTGTGTGTGAGAAACGAGGGGTCGTACATTGCACATTTAGTGGCACATCTTCCTCCGGTCCGGATTAGGCTATTCCCATTAAGCTACCTCCCCTGGACCCTTTCATTACAGAGATCTCACATAAGAGAGAAAAATAAAATCAGCTATCAGGCGAAAGTTCCCAAAAGTTCACATTACAGTACTGTTAAAGTCTCATTAGACAAAACGAAAAATACAAAAGGCAGAGAGAGAAAAAAAAAAAAAAAAAAAACTTACACCCAATCACCAATATTTTCAGTAACTGTATAGGAAAAGGCTTGTTTCTGATTAGATATATTATTAACATCATAATAACTATGATTATTAGAATGATTTTTTTGTCACCACGGTAATCAGTTTCTTTTTTGTACAGGGATCGAGGAGCGGAGCGCGGGCCTTCAGTCACTGGGAGGAGGCCTTGGTGGCTATCGTGGAGACACAGTGCTGCTGGAAGTTGGGGGACATGGCCGAGTTGCAGCCCAGTCTCTGCAGCTCTTTGCCCCGCATGCTGCCGCAGCAGCAGCCGGGGGCCGGCGGCGCGGCGCTGGGCACGCCGGCGCTCACCGGCAGGCCTTTGGGCTGCTCGGGGGCGGGCGCAAAGTCAGGGTTGTGGCTCTGGAGCACGCTGCTTATGTGGTTCAGCAGGTCGTTGAAAAACTCCGGCACGCCCTCGTAACCTGGACACACAGAGCAGCTTTAGACACACGTCTGGAGAAGAGCGCTAACCCTAACCCTTTCATTTTATAAACGGCACAAAGAGGCCAGCAGGACTTTAATCTTTCTGACCTGGAAGTGTTTAGTATGACACAGAAACTGTTTACACACCAGAGGCTTCACTACGAATGTCAGAAACATGTCTGCCAGACTTAAACCATCCATGTGAGTGGAGTGTTTCACGTACCGGGGAAGGCATTGATGTCGATGACGGCATGCTGGCCCGTCTGGTTGTTTATGATGACATCGATGCCGAACAGGGACACGCCCAGCGCCTGGCGCAACGACCTGGACAGCTCCCTGATGACATCATCATTAGGTGGCAGAGACACTCCCTCTATGTGCTCTCTCTGAGGTGGGAAAAAAAACAGGTAAGAGAATGTAGAAATAGCTGACAAAACAAAAGAAGTCACTCAGCTGGATGGTTTAAACATACCGACGTCAAATCAGAAGAAGATTCCGGTTTGGAAACGTTGTGGCTGTTGAAGAAAATGGCTTTCCTGTCTGAAATGAGAACAAGGGGAAACATTGTTTTTAAAACAAGTTTTCCACATTTTCCACCATGAACAGTAGGTGGCACCAAAGCTCCACCAACTACACCCAGCTGTGTGGCAACCATAGCACTAACAATCATTTTGAAAAAAAGAAAAAAAAGACCAGTGTCTTTCAAAACTCTCCTCTCAGGTAAATACAAAGTTAACAGGAGGGGCTGAAAACCTCTTCTTTTTTTTGGTCATCACTCTTCTAATTAACATGAACGGATGTCAGGGAGACAGAAGATGGGAGGAGGACTAAAACTCAATCCCTGTCCAAATAAATAAGCCCCCGGGCTCATAAATGGCTGTGGCGATGACATGTTGGTCAGAGAAGGTCATTCATTTCCACACTGGAGTTTAACTCAGAGGAACAACAGAAGAGGGGGGGGGGGGGTCGTCTCATTTTGAGCTCTTTCCAAATGCCAACATGTGCTTCTTTTTCATGTAGCCTTCCAATCAGGAGATGTAAGACGGGGCCTTAGGCTAAGCACCCACACCCTGTGAGAGGCATGCCCTGCGGCGTGCCGCTTTCCGGTTGGGCCACACACACCGTTCCAGGCAGGGAGCAACTGTCTGTGCGCTGTGACACAAAGCAGGCCGCCTCACTGATGCCCGGCGTCGTTTGCATGAGGGCCTCTGCTGCTACTGTCTCACATGCAAATGGCGGGCTGCACCGTGGCGGGGGACAGCACGGCGCTCACATCAGCTGGCGGGCAAAGCCTGTGACATGTTTACGGGGAAAAACATCCCTCCCCGTGTTTATTTTCAAGTGCATGCACCACCGGGGTAAAATAAATTGCCCTCTGCTGCGCTCCTTAAAAGGGCGAATAGGTCCAATCACAGGGAATATAAAACCGGTTTACAAGGCCTTTTATTGGGTCATTGGAACGGGCTGAGCAGATTTTACAGACGGAGCAGCCTGGCTTACAGCAGGCCTTGGACTTCTGCACCTGTCTGTCTGTCTGTCTGTCCGTGCTTACCTGCAGGTCCAGCAGGAAAGTTCTTCAGGGAGGGTCTCTCCACCACAGTGTAGGAATCCCCCACCACAAACACCTTGTAGAGCACCGCGTTGTGGTTGATGAAGGTCTGGATCACACACGGAGGCTTCACATCCTTCAGGTCCTCTTCACTGAAGATAATGGCCATCTATGTACAACAGGAGCACAGCGGACCCTTCAGACGGCCGGGCAGAGCTCCCACTTACATCTAAACTTTGTTCAGTTGTGTTCATGTGCTGGAGTGAGTGCTCCACAGAGGGAAAAGCCCTTTATGTGACTGTGTAACTGTCAGACGAGTGTTTCTGTGTGCGGAGTCGAGTGTGCAGGGTGTGAGCGACCTCTGAGCTCTGCGGCCTCTCACCTCGTGGGAGTTGGTGCCATGAGCCACCCGTGTTTTGCAAACTGAGGAGGAAATCCAACCGACAGCATGGTGAAAACAAAATCTTCGAATGAGAAAGGGTTGCTTACGTAACGGCTGCATGCGGAGATACTCACCGAAGGGGAATGCCAGTCCTTGCCTCTTGATTTGCTCCAACACATCTGGGCTGCACTCAGTGTTCAAGACCATGAATGGAGGAGAGCAAATCCTCTCATCTAATAAAAGAGAAGCCAAAGTGAAGCTTGGTGAGGGGGCTGAGGCACCGTTTTATGACGGAAAGTCACGGTCATAGTTTTTAAACAACCATTTAATCAACTAAGCAATCCGGTACATCTGGGTGATAACATTCAAATATGAAATAAAGGCTGTGCTAAATTTCCCTGAACCCACAAAGTCTCCACAAAAAGGTATCGTCCTAATGACACTTTTGAGTCCAAAGGCTTTTACCGCAACATAACACAGGAAGTAGGGCTGTTACATCAGCATGGTTTCAAGGAGGTACATGATGTCAGACCTCTGTGAAGTAATGGATCGTGAAAAATCCCACAAGCTGTGGAACAGACCACACACACAAAAGGTGTGATCTCTGAATTTGGTGCCGGTATCAATGGCGCTGGGTAAAATAACTGGATTTGTTCAAGGGTGCGTGATGGATAATCTATTGGCACTCCTGTGTGGTTTCAGCTGTCAGAGTAAAACCTGACTGATAGGAGACAGATTAATGTGTCACCCGGACACAAAGTCACACCTTGCTTGGTTAATTTTTAAAAAATGTTTGAATCTATATTTTGTCCTTGTGATGGGTCTGAAAAAAACAAACAGAGGAGAAGCCACCTGAAACCAAACGCAACACACATTGTCATGCCGACCTACCCACATACAGTTTCTGTAGCATTAAGCCTACGTTCTACTGGTCAAACCACTGCCCTAATGATGTAGATGCTCTACATCATTAGGTCATCCTGTTTGACCAGATGACAATGATTGACTAAATGTCGCACTTGTTACATGTTACATGAGTAATACCCTCCAACACACACAAGAAATGTAATGAAAAAGCTTAACGAGGAGCCAGATGAACCGCGTTTCATTATGGAGTCATCAGATCAATCATCTGACAGACTGACAGGCACAACTCACATTTCATTAGCTCAACACTAAAAAACGAAACAAAAAAACAACAACAAAAAAAGACATACAGAATATTTTCCTTCTTTCATACAAATTCCTCTTAAACCCCCATCAACGTCACCTAATCTGTTCAGATCTTCGTTTTACATCACATCCTTTATCAGTGGGTCCTGATGACGCTGAAAAAACCTCAACTAACCCTAAAACAAACCCAAATCACGTTCTGCAGCGTTCACACATCTGTCAGGGCTCGGGATCAATCGATACAATAATATTCTGTCAGCTGCAGTTTCGTTTCTGACAGAAGTTGAGTTGATGAGGCTTCAGGTCACAGATGCCCCCACAGGAAATCAGTGAGCGGGCCAAAGCAAAAGGCTGGCAAAAGTCTAATGACAAACGCACAATAGAAAGATGCCGGTCTTTGTGTGCAGGGGGCCTCAGCGGTGGCTCCCTGCTCCGGTAGCGCTGAGCTAGGTAGAATCTAATTCGCCTGCATTAACTGGAGCGCAGACGGCTGGAAATGGGTGCAGAGTTAGCGCAAACGCAGACTATGACTTCTGGAACAAAACGACGGTGGCCCGTTTCCGTCGACATGTGATCGGGCAGCAGTTCCCTGTTGATCTACCGTCAGTATAAAATGGGCTGACGACAGTTCAGAGATAAGCTCAAAGAACACCAGACAAGGCAATTCTTTTGATAAAGAAGCGCCTAGTTTTTCCAAAGTTGAGTACGTCTAGGCATGATACGGAACGTTTTCAGATTATTCAAACACTTCCATGGCTAGGGTAATTTTTAAAAAGGTTGTTTTCGTTAGGGTTAGGGGATATTTCTGTCCTTTATTGAAATCAAAACATTTATGAAAATGTGATGCTGAGTTCTGCTCATCGGCCGCCAATGTTTCCACAACCTGACAGAACACCTGCAGCGGATCAAATTCACTGGCCATAAATCAGGAATGGCACACACCTGTCTGTGCGAGGACTTCACAGTTAATGATGTCTGGCAGATTAAATTTCCGCGCAAATTTCTGGGAATAAGGATAGAGGGTGACCCCCCCCCCTGCCTCTTGCCTGTTGTCAGCTGGGTACAGAAAATGGATGGATGGATTTTTTTTCTTTTCTAGAATTATCCTTTGAGTGTGACCCCTCTAATTTTCCAGTGAAATTCCCTCCAGCTTTGCTGCTGATGAACATGTGATTCCACATTTTTAATAAGACTAATTTCTAACTTGGAACATTTGGTCCAAAATAAAGAAATAAAAAAAAATCTTTCAAGTTATCTATGACATATCTTGCATGGTTAATTTTTTTTCTATTTTTGGTATAATGTGACGGACAAAGAATACTTTTATTCCGCCTCACACACAGCTACTTGTTCTGTGCTCTCCAACATTTCCATGAGTCTACCCCAGTTCTGGCTCGGCAACCAGGCAGAGCTGGGAGCAGGAAGCCTGGTGGAGGTTTACCCATCAGTCATCTCTGCTCTTGCTGCTGATGTTATTTCACCAGGACAAGAATAGCTGCGTAATACCTTTCAAAAAACACAGGGAAGCGTCCCCATTACATCACCAAGTTCCCAAAGACCGGTGGTGATGAAAAATGTCAAACAAAAACCATCAAAAGACCCAAATCTTGTCAAACAGAAAACATCTAAACTTCCAAGCAAAAGATTTATAGCAAAGAGACAAGGGAAGGATGGATGAGAGCGTGGGGCCAAGTTTATAATAGTGTGCATGTTTGGCTCTGGTTGAAGGTTTAGGGATACGGGGGTGGTGGGGAGGATCAATCTCCACTTCTGTCTAAACACTGCATACTTGCAGTAGACCCAGCGGAGCCAAGACGACGTTTATTGGACCCGACAATGAAAAGCTTTTAAATGTTTCTATTTAATCCGTCTTTCTTTGTTGTTGTACTCCTATCTTCTGCATGTCTTCGGCCACATTTTCTCATTGACCACAAAAGAGGTGCAGCTGAGAATAAATTCCTGGGCAGGTAAAACCAAAAACTCAGCTCAGATCTGTCCCCTGTTCTAAGGTATCAGAAGTACAAGATGATAGGCAGCTAAGCTGCATCACTTCATTCAATATGCTGAAATGGTGTTGCTATTTAGAGCTTGTTTCCTAGAAACCCCAGCATCCTCTGTTGCTGCTCTCTACGTCCCTACGAGGTAAAGCAGCAACATTTTTTAATTTTATAAATTGAACTCCAAAGACAGCTTTGTCCATAGAGTAATGCATTTCTCAATATGACCCTCTCAGAGGTTTCCAGTTATTAGTCATTGATGTCAGACATAAAAATGTTATAGTTTAATCATTTATTTCGTTTTTATCAGGAGAAAACCAACGCTCATTTGAACAGATAATCATATATCACCATATCTCATATCATGCACTAGGTCATCCTGATATGTAGGAAATTATTTACCAAAGTTGGCCAATCCTGTCTTACCACTTGGCTCATTGAAAGTCCAGGACTGCTTAGTTATTTGAGCGTCTGTTGGTGTTTCCACAGCTGCAGCTCATTGAATATTGATCTCTTGGCATAAACTAGACATTTTTTCTGTTGGTGTGGATGCATGTATTCCCATTCTCACATGGACCTCAGTGCTATTAGATTAATTTACAAATTAAAGATGAATGCAACAAAATGCACAAAGCAAGGTTTAGGACTGACCGGGAAATTTCCTTTATCTTGATCTGATGGAGGAATTTAGCTTAATGCAACAAGCAAAGTTGTTGTTTTACAGAAGAGTGGACCTGACAGCAGTTTATGTCTATGAAAGAGGGAAAGATATCAAAACTCATGTATACACAGGAACCAGTAGATTCCACAAAGTAACATAAACAGTCACCTTGCTCCGGCTCACACAGGAAACACAAAACCACATCAGAAAACATAACACAGCCAAAGTTCCAGCGATGAATCGGAGACACAGATCCATTTGTTCTCATGGTGGCCTTTGTCTGGCTGTTTTATATTAAACACGACATTAAGATGATCTAATTCTTGTACTCGCCATTTACTATTTAAACAATTCCGAGCAGAGCGCCTAAATGTGCTGTGACTGCAGCCATTTAACACGGAGAGGCAACTCCATAGCGATAAAACAAGCCAAGCTTTTGCAGAGGAATGACAAGCGCTCTTCGAGTGCTTCCTCCTATTGACTACTATTCTGAGTCATGCAGAACATGGCAGGCTCTGTGGCCTTTGAGTGCTGGGTTGCCTTGGCAGCAGCTTCAGGACTCCATGGTCTCCTCTGATAAGGAGGAGGAAGTGACTGCGCTAAAGAAAGAGGTAACGCCAACACTCATGAGCCTCTCTTTCTCTTTTTTACATAAAAAAAACAACCTATAACCTTACCCCAGATCTCAGTCATACTTTGCGTGTGTGGACAGATGAGAAAGCCTTTATCCATGGTCACATGCCATAGTCACAATGGTATGTTGGAGGATTATAATGGCTTACACTCCATGATTGTGTCTAAAATGAAGGGACATGCCAGTGTGGGTTGGTATGCGGGCCTGTGTAGGTACAGAGCACTATTTACATTAATAGAAGCAGAGTGGTTGAAAAAAATGAAAAGGACTTCCCATAAATGCAACCATCATATGCAGTCACGTCCCTCCTCCGACCAGTTGCACACAGTCCTGCACCTAACACTGGCTGTTATGCAACAGCTACTATCTGTTTGGATAAAACGTCGTCTTATGTCTCAATTTTAAGAAAACAGTGACCAGTTGAGCTGTTGAAAAGTCTCTGCTGCCCCTCGCACGCTTATGGAGGCTCAGAAAAGGAATAATTAAAGGGTCTGTGTTCCCTACCATGTATGGGGGTGATGGGGATGAGTCACACATGCGCTTGCAGTGTTTGCTCGTCAGGAATGTGGTCGTGTTGTCATTACCTCCAGCTAAAGCACATTAGCCACTGATTAGTTTATGTGCTCATTGTCAGGGGAAGGTGCTGCTGGACCGATTTGAAGGCATACTTTGATCCATCACAGAGGACACACAGTTCATGCCAGGTTCAAGCAGAGAAATTGTGAGACAGGAGTGCCATTGTGGTGTACAAGAGAGGAGAAGAATTGCGATACCAGGTGAAAACTCTGCCGCCGATTCAACTTATGCTCAAAGGTGTCAGGAAGCATAAGGTCAAAGAGAAAAAAAAGACAACCGAGCTACAATTGAACAACAATTACTCCCCTATTAAATGAAGAGGACAGAATTAGATCACTACGTCATTTTATACAACTTATGTATTATCTGAGGTTAAGAATGGAGACACTTTGCCATCTTCTTTTCTCTTAAATCCAACAAAAAGTTGGCTCTCTTTTATGGAGCTAGTGCTAACTTTGGTTTGAAACTGGTGGTGTACACCATCAGTGTCTAACATCACTGCCCTCTTCTAGGCACCATACTCATTGAATTAGACCTTTGTTTATTAGCAAGAATATCCAATAAGCTGTGAGGGTCATGTAAGAGTTGTGTGAAACATCTTACCTTGCATACAGCTCTCTATTCTGTGGATGAGCTGGTAGGACTTGCAGCGGTCAAGCAAAGTTCGGATGGCTGGAAGGGGATCGAGGATTATAGTCTCAGGGTGGGCATCAATGTAGTCCTTCAAACAAAGATAAAGAAGAATAAAAAAATTAAAAAACACCTTAGACCCAAATTTATCTCATTTATGCTGACACAGATGAACAACATAAATTCTACCAGCAGCAGCATCTCTGTGACTGACAATAAGACTTGATTTCTGACCAGAAAAACACAAAATTGATTAAACCTTCAACGTATAGATTATTTCTTTTTTTCCAATCCACGGAAAGTCAACTGTCAAATAATTTGACTGAGCTCCAGGTAAAGAAAAAGGTTCTGAGTTTGGAGCTGCTGATGCACTGGAAGCTTCCAGTGCTGTGGATGTAGACCCGAAAATGCTTATTTTACAGCAGGATCAAAATACATAAAGATATTTATGTGCTGCAAAATTCTATGAGACAAAATTAGAAATGTGTATGTGTCTGTAAAAAATTCACAATACGGTGAGACCCCAACAACAGAACCACGATATGAGGAGGACTACTGCTTGTTTTTTCATTTCCTTTTAGAATGAATATAATTTTTCTTCTATTTTATCAATTCTCAGAGTAATCAATGGGGCGTACATTGGAGGAGTGAAATGAGTCAATGGCTTATGTGTCAAATAGTCCAAAGTTCATTCTTCCAGGCTTGAGTTTAGAGTCAACATTTAGTTGGATCTTGTTGATTTTTATTTTGAATTTTTCTTACATCTATTAAATATATATATATATATTTTTTTTTTTTCAAGAATTACTACGTTAAAGCATTTTCAGGCTTAGTTTACAATCATTACTCACACACAGCGGTAATCTTTTGTCATAATAATCTGCACTGCTCTCCAGTAAAAACATATGGATACCTCCTCTAAACCATCTCAGTCAATCATCTTTAAAAAAAAAAGAAAAAAGAAAGAAAAAAAAGCCACATCTGTTTCTTCCATTTCAGCTGATGATTTTACCAACTTGTCACTCGCAAATATTGAGAGTTCTCTTCATTGAAGAGATATGTTGGGGACTTTTGACTTTCCTCAAAGTTGATCAAAAGGTTGTTTTTCAATAGACTTTTTCTGGGTTTTTATTTGTGAATGTTACAGACCGGACTAAGTGTCCAGGCATTGCTTCAGGCCCTCAAGCTGTTTTATCCATAAATGCTCACAGGATTTAACCATAGCAAAACAGCCTAGATTGTGCAGTTTCCATAAAATAACCAAAAAGCAGAAGGGTTTCTTCTTTTTCTTAAATTGCAAAGTCTACATTGGGGGGGGTTGTAAGACAGAGAAAGCATAAAATGTATGCCAGCAGGTCTGTGTAGGTTACGTCACTGCATCTCGGCTCAGCCGGCTGTTGGGTCAGCATGAGGCTGGTCATTTTACATAACTGAACTCTCCTTCCTTTCTTCCATCTCCTTTTGCTGATCCTCCTCTGGCTTCATCCTCACTCCACTGCCCTCTGATCTCCACCTTTCTGTCTGTATACCCGGGACCTAACCTTTCCTTCCTTGCAATTCCTACTGACTCACCAACGCTGTCATGCAAAGCTGGCGGGCTGGCGTGTTACACAAACTGCCAGCCTGCTCACATTACAGCCTTGGAAAACAAAACAGAATCCAAAAAAAACACACACACACAACCCCCCCCCCCCCCAAAAAAAAAAAAAAACTGGTATAATAATAACAACAAAAAAACAACAAAAAACAAAAAAACAACAAAAAATACCACATACCAGTTTTCATTTCCACTCGCATTTACATGAAATTAAACATGGACAGAGCACACGTGGGGTGGAAATAAACAAAAAGCCTGTTTGTTAAACGACTCCAGGTACTCCAACCAACTGACGCACAAAGCATGTAAACACACGCCTTGGCCTTTGCATGGAGGACCCATCTGCAGGGTTTACTTGGATCTGAAGGGTGATGCTGATTATAGCCAGTTGAGCAGTTATGTAAGTCAGACATGCTGCGACCAGAGGAATACTCCAATCCAGAGAGTCACTCGCTGATTTCTGCATCTCAGGAGTGGAAATGCAGCAAAATACATACAAGAGGGGGAGGTGAGGAAGAGATGATCATTCTTCAGCAGGTGTGGAAAAGATCCTGACATATGTCGGTGTGGGTGGAAGACAGAGCCGCACATTTGCGGCTTTTTTTTTTTTTTTTTTTTCTGAGGGGGAGATTTATTTGCACTGGGAGATTAAACGCTTTGAATGTTCAGAATCCGTCTTTGATGTGACATGCATTAAAACATGAAGGAAAATTTGTATTCATAGCACTTAGAATTCCCACAGCCAAGAAAGATGTCACTAACCACATACCAAGATCACAAAATTCTTAATTAAGTGAAATGGTGATCTTCTGAACTTTCATAACTGGACTCATAATGATGTAGCCCTGGAGAAAATTCCCGCTAATGGCATTTGTTTTGGGTACGCCGAGCACACAGCTCTCACCTCGGGCCACTGAGTCACCGCAATGCATTCATGGATGACATTTTGTTTTAACTAAAGAGCTATTACAGAGAGGAAAGCTCGTTCCCTCCACTACACAAACGGTTATTTATACCAACAGCTGTGTATTAATAAGAAACACGCCAAAGCTTCTAATTCAAACAGAAATGTAATCACAGATGACAGTCGGGTTCAGGTGACTGAGCCACTTTACACGCAGACTGAATTAAACCATCAGCACCACCAGCAGACTTTGGGCAAAGGGCGAAAGAGAGAAAATGTTGGACTTCAACCACTGTTGCTTTGGACTGAGCAGCCTTTTCCTAGGCACTTACCAGAACAGTTTACAAAATACCACCCACTTCAGATTCTTTCAACATCAGAGGCTTCACCTTTGTCTCACACTTAGTAGGACAGGACCAAGGCTACCAGAAAAGTGTCATGTGCTAATATTTATCAGCTTCTGCTGCTAACTTGATTGCTTCACTCTGGCATCCCGTTTGTCCTTCCTAATTGAGCAGTCAGGGAAATGTTGACAGAGTTGCACGAGTTTGATCACGATAACGGCTCCTCTGACTCATTTGTTGCGGGTGAGTGGGAGTGAAACATTTAGGGGCCTTAATAAAATTGTTTTTCACACCATCTGTTGCATGGGCAGTTTAGTGAACCCAAAAACTCCACACCAGCTCTCGCAGCTGGGTTCTGCTACCCATGTCTAACGTTTATCAGGATAACCCGGAAACCCTCAAGTTTTAAATGGCGTCGCCGTGTTATCGAGTACAGCTGATAATGCTTTTATGTCCCTTCAGACTGTCTGCTGGATTCCCTGAACAGTAAATGTGAAACTAGTAAATGTTTATCATCAGCCACTTTACCCCAGTTAGACCGACAGTGGCTGTCCCGTGTGTTCACCAGTTTAGGAAGAAAAAGGTACATGTTGAGTATTCACAGAATTTCTTTGGAAACACTGTGGGAATCATAAACAGCCTTTTTGTTATTTAATAACACCGTCAGACACTACTAACAGCAGCCATACAAGGACACTGTTGAAACCATCAAGTCCATGAATAAGTAATAACAAAATTGCAAAACAGACTTAATTCTTCACAGTCGCAGTGAGGTGGCTGATATGAACCGATCACTGGCTTCGGTTTCAAAACAGCTCACTCTGGAGCGTGGACTCAATCACTTCACTTTTCACAAACCACTGAACAACAAATCAGAAAACATGTCATTTAAAAAAATTTTGCACAGTGCCTTTTGGGCATCCAGAGGATCACGTACCTGTACTCTTTGAATCAGCAGAACCGCCTGGGAGTCATTCTGGTCTGCTTCTAGGATGAGGTCCGTCAGTTTGTGGATGATGACGTCCAATGGGCCCTGGTCCTCAAGAGGCTGGCTGAGGTCCAGCTGTGGGTGGGGGACAGGAAAGTGAAGGGTTTTGCTACAACACAGGCATCTGTCAAAAGCAACCATCATCAAAAGTCCAAAATGATTGAAAGTGACATTAGAAACAGAAGCCACTAATATGTCATATCGGCAGCTGTATTTCTGCATCGTACAGAAAAACTGAAAAACCATCACGTTAAAATAGAAGTGAAGAAATTCAATAAAAATGTGACAACAGGAAGGGTTGCAAAACTAGGAGTACATTAGTAACAAAAAGCAAAGTATTTTTTCACTGCACCATGCCAGTTCAACCACCATCGAGCCACACGATTCCTGCTCTTTAAAAATAAATAAATTCCACCTTTACGTATGACATTGTTGTTTTATTTAAAAAAAATAGTAACTCGTTTTGGAAAGGCAGTCAACCTTTGTTCTCCGGTCCCTCCCTTTCATAGTCTTGTTCAAGGAAACAAACCATTTCTTTCTTTCTACGTTTTGTGGTTATGAAACAACCAACAGACAAATGCGGACAGAAAAGTAAGTTATCTTCGTCTTCTTTAAATTAAAAACTTGGGTGGAGCCGGAATGTATGACCCCCCCCCCCTCGCCGATCTTGTTCAACAAGAAAAGAATACCAAACCTTGCTTTTTTTCATGTGAAACTGCAGAAATAAGCGCAAAGTAGTGCATTCATAGTCAAACTGGTTCAGTGAGGTCCAGAAGACTTTGGGTTAAATGATGCAACATTACAAAGGAAATGAAAAGATGTTCGGGTCCTGTAATTTGTCTCACTGTGTGCACACACTTAAGCAAAAAGTTAGTGTGTGTTTGTGTGTCCCCGCTTTTAAAACAAGTCAAAATACTGCACTGTTTATCTAACAATTGCAGTGCTGCTGTTTAAAATGCAACAGTCCTTCCATTTACTAGCTAATGGAGATGACTGAATCAGAGAAACGAGAAAGACAACTCAGCCACACCCGTTTATTTAAGTTAGCGCTGGGCGGGATCCTATGGTCCTTTGTGATGTACACACGATATGCAAACAGAGAGCATATAGACTGTTACACTGATACTGTCACACCGTTAGGGATCGATGATAAAGCTGTAAAACGTCACAGGCTCAGTTAGCTTAAGGTGGGCCGCATCCAGCAGTTTCTGGTTAATGATTGTGGGAGGTGTGAGCGATAGATGGCTGACTGGCCAAGGCCAGGAGAGCTGCTTGTTCATGAACTGCAAATCTGTTAAATATATGACTTAAGTTTTACACAGTTTTCACTGCAAATATGACAACATTCAGCCACAGCTCCAAGTTAATAGACAACCTTATTTTAAACAAAGATATTGCAACTGTTGTCATCCATGCTTAGTGGGCACAGTGCATGGCACGTCTGTGTCTAATAAACATGCCAAAACACATGGAGTTTAATCTAAGGAATATCTTCCTTTAATTTGTCACTATGCCAAAGAACATACACTTCCTTACTTTACTATTGTAACAGTGTTGAATATCATTCCTTACGCCTGAAAGGCTATGCCCTTTAGCTGTATGAAACATGCCAAAAGCAGCTGCAAAAACATACACAAAACAATGAAGCTGGCATTTGAGCTCTTTCTAGAAACGACACAAAGGCTGCATTCACACGCAGACTGTAGATGTTTGACAGAGTGTCGAACGAAGCTCTGGATTTGTTTGAACTATTTCAGCAGTAAAGTTTGATACTAAGTGGTTTTCTTTAGAGAAAGGTAAAAAAAAAAAAAAAAAAGAGTGTCAGAAGGAAGTTTGTTCAGAGGGAATTTAAGTAATCATTAATAGACAGATATGCACAGAAACCAATGAGCAAATGAGCAAAGAAATATATGAATGTACATCCCCATCACACAGTGAGGAAAAACTAACCTCTCCCTGGCAAAACCTTTTATCAGATTCGCTGTAGAGGACTTTGTCTCTCCGATATCGCTGCATTGTGGGCAAAAACGAGTTATGCTGCTTTGGGCGTTATAACAATTGGTGACATTTAATGCGATCTTAAAATAAACATACCCATTCTAAAGGGATTTTGGTGGCTGATGGTAAGCAGGTTGATCAGGAATCTTTTGGCTGAGATCTCAACACGGCAGCAAGACAATAGACATTTCACAAAAAAAACATGAAAAGTCTGTAACTTTAGCTTGTGTGAGCAGTGGTGATGAGAGGGCCAAAACGCTGGCCAAGGGAACTCCTGTTTCCAGGCTACCAGGCGGTGACAGCAGGACTGAGCTGGCTGCGTGGGAATTCGTAACCTCCCAGACTCATGGATTTTAATCTCTTGCTTATAAAACACTGAGGGCCCATTTGCAGTCTGGTCCCTCTAGGAAATCAGGACTCCAAGTTGAGGAGTTCAACACCCGCTGGCAAAGACGCATCGAAGAGGATGAGGCTCTCCTCTGCCTTAGTGCAGACAGAGTGACCCTGCCTCAGAGCTCATTCCAAAACCCAACAGAAAAGTCACTGATGTCCTGCTAAATGCGAAAAGCAGAAATGTCAGCAGAGGTCTTTGTAAGTCCCTCTGGGACTGAGAGCAAGCACTGGACCATGGTGGTGCATGACAGCATAGAAAACATGTTTAATCCTGGTGGGAGAGGGTAGGTCAGGGCCAGTATATTTCCAGCTTTGATGTAAAGCAGCGCAGACAGGGTAGTCCACTTTTCAACAAGTGCACTAAATGCAAACTGTATGAGCCACTGTGTGCGTCAGTTCTTAATCTTTCTTTCTGCATCGTATGTTAAGATGCCTCTTTTCAGCTGTAGCCAGCAGAGCCTAATCTCCCTTGGCTCTCGCTCTTGTCAGGCTAGCACAGAGAGGAGGTGTGCTGAGGACAGGCTGATGTGATGAATGATTTATTTTGTATGCCTTGTGGTAACTGACACCCACATGGGAAACAGAAAGATACTATGCAACCGACACAAACTGCTGCTGCTGGCTCCACTTCGTTCGAATTACACAACTAAACGTGGGATCGACCAGCCAAAAACTTTATGGAGGATCAAACCGGGAGCTCATTAAGCTAATTGCAATTTCACCAAGATTCACAAAGTAGCAAGACTTTACTCTCTGCTAATTGTATAGAGCAATTAAAAGTTATGAGGAGGGCTGAAAAGCTGAACTTTGATGACTAAAAGTTAAGTGAAGGTGACTTCTGTGGCTTTGCGATTAGCATGATCGTGTTTTCAGCGTATTTCCCTGACAGGTGGCTATAAATCATATCAGACTGAAATTACTGCTATGTCAGGTTGTTTTATATCATGTTGAGATAAAGTGCTTCCATACACATGCGTACAAAAAAACCTATGGAGATTGCTGGGGATTTTTAATGAGGTCATAAAAGCCCCTGTGCAGACTGTTGACTGTGTCATTAATCGTTACGCAAACTCACCCTGCTCACACCTACACAATCCTTCAAAAGGTTGAAAGAATCAGTTTTGTAAACAAGGTAATCGTCATCATGTCAGAAATAAATTACGATGCAAAAATGAACAACAACATAACTCTGTATGAGACTCCTGCTTAGTTTCTCCATCTGGAAATGATATAATTGAAATAACAGCTACACAAACTGGCTATCTTTGGATCATCGGGCTGGTTCAATAAAACAAATTAAAAAAATGAGACTCCTGTTCTATAAACTGTCAATTTTAAAGCACTTACAATACCATAAAAATAATAATAATAAATCCTTCATAACTTTCCTTCCCAGCACTATCAGACAATAGTGGTGTACATTGAACTCAGGATAAAAGGTCAGAGTTGATAAGTTGTGATTGCAAGAAGAAATCAAAAGGAAAAGATGATGAGCTAATGAAAAAAGTTTGTGTGGAAGGCTACAGCGGACGTCAAGAGCAATCAGAGAAGACAAACAAAGGAGTCTCCTTTTTTTTGTTGAGCTCTGTCTGTCCAGAGGAGTGAACATGTAGAAGGCTTTCCCACACTACAGATGGAAATAAAACGAGCTCCCTGGGGCTCCCAGATTTAGTCAAAATTTGTCCGTGCTGCATGACGTAATGACCACTGCTAACCCCCTGGAGAACTGAACCTCTTGAGGCAAAAAATCATTTTTATGTCACTTTGAATTCTTCCAAATTTAGTAGGCTTTATGAAGACAAGCAACAGCTTTTTACATTATTGCTAAATCAAAAGACAAAATCCACTGATCAGTTGTTTAGAAAAAAATGAACTGATTCTTTTGTCAGTTTTGCGACAGGCCAAGGTTGGTATCATTTATAGTAAGAAAATGTGTAAAAAGGAACTCTGAATGAACGGTTACCGTTCTTACATAATAGGCTTCAATAATAAATCAAAATGTCTACAAAATACAAGCTCACTAACTTGTCAGGTAACCTTTCCTGACTATTCATACATATAAAGAGAATGGCTAACATGGAAAAAAAGCCTTGTTATTCTGCTACACAATGGGAAACAGCATGACTTAAAGGTTTATTTTATTTATTCGCCTATCCTTGGATACTCAGGGTTGAGCTGTTATCACCAGGGTCAGCCAGTCTGTCACTCGGCGGGGACAAGGTCGGATGATTAAAGTGGCTGAAAGAGATAAAACTGAAGCGACATTCTGCCATCACCTTCTACTGAGGGTTACACACATAACAGAAAGCCCCTGTAGATGCTCAATGCTTACCACAAACCTGAAATAGTTCACACATAAACATGCTGGATGGTTCGTCTGCAACCAAATGTTTTCTTTATACTGGTCCACAAACTGTTGAACACATGTCATGGCCATCCAATACAACCGAAACTTCCCAAACTAAGAGAACCTCTCAACCTATAATCCAACATCCCATATTCTCAACATTACAGGGTTTAAAATGTAATGGAAAATATATGACACCTCAATTACGCAAGTCATTAGTAATGACTATTGCAAAAAGGCCTGAGTCAGACAATAGACTCTTTTATCTTTGTTTCAGGATAGCATGGGCACTAATTAACATTTGCAGCATCCGGGGCAGCTGAATCACTGGTGTAGACTCCATAACACCTCTGCATATGCAAGTAAAGTCAGCTTTTAGGCCAAGTGAGTGCTTTAGAAAAAAAAGGGAAAAAAGAATAAATGGAATGGCAGGAGGAGAAATTTAGGGCACAACTGGTTTTCCCAAAAACGAGAAACGAGACAGGCTTTGGTGGAGACGACCTCGTTTCTCTAGGTGCTCTGAACAGAGCGCCCGTGAGGATCTGCTGTCTCCGGGGAGGATCCGAGTGCACAGTGGGAAACAAAGCCCTGCTTACTTTGGGACTATTCCCAGGACAAGGCTCTCTCTGGGTGTGCTGATATCGTCAGCACAGTGAGAAATGAGGGACTGAGGAAAGCCAAAAAAAAAGAGGGCACACAGAAAAAAGAAACATGAAGTAAGATACTTAATGACAGGGAGGATGATTTCCCCCTTAGATGCAGGAAGCACTTAAACAAACAGCTGCTTTTTATGCACTGAGCTCTCAGGAATTATTAACTTTCGAAATAGAGCCTTAGGTATTTACATATCTGGTGTAGTATGAGAATCAATATCCAGGAAAGACTTTCTCTTCACTTACCTGGAAGCTGTATTTACCAGAACTTTACTCTGTACCCGTGACTAAAGCTATCTAATTGGACAAGAGACCATTACTTATGGAACAACATCAGTTCCCTCAGTCTCCCTCACCTATTTAACAAGTAACTAATTGTCTGTAGCACTTTAGAACATTTCAAATGCTTACAGGCAGAAAAAATAGCATGATTGCGAAGAAATATCATGTCAGATGTGGGAGGTCAAAAACCCCCATGTAATTTACTAAATGAGATGACTGAAAAACTGTAGAAAAATTTGGGATTAATAAGTGGTTTTAAAAGAGAATAAAACTACCACAATGTAAACAGAAGCTTTGTTTAGTTAAAAAGTGTAGAGTAAAAAAAAAAAAAAAGACAGCTCACTTACCTGAACTACTTCTATTCCTCTTTTCCTGAAAAACAAGAGACAAACAAAGTCAAGAATTTTAAAGGGAACAAAACGAGCCAAGCAGAACAGACGCAACTCAGTACCTGTTTTTCATCAACAGAGCTTATATTTTTAAACAAAGGTTATTGTTTGCACATGTGTATCAGTTGCTGCTACTGCTGGTTCTTTGTAACTGAATGTTTCAGGTTCAGAAAAAAGAATGTAAACAGAAATTATGAGCATCCTTTTCAAACAATTAAAATGTATTAATCAGTCTTTCCTTTAATTTGTGACATATGTGTCACAACATTTATATATACATCTAAAAAAATGTCATCCATATATATATTTACATATAAATAATTTTTCAAGAGGGAAATATACCTAAACTCAAAAGGCTTCCTCAATTTTTTTAAAAACACTTTTAAGTCAAGCATGTGAAAAGCACCTATACATCTTTTTGATGTACAATAATGAAAATCCTTCAACTGGCAGTGACACAAATCATTGTTTCATGTACTTGTATCCACTTAATGAGTTCCTAAGAGAAAAACTAGAAAACCAAACAAAAAAATAAATAAAACTCTACCTCACAGAAATAAGAAAAACAGGTAAATCCTTATTCGGAAAATCAACAGTGAGAGCAAAGCACATAAAACACGACCCCTAACTCAGCCTGTCCAACCCAGCTGTTTTTGAGGTTACGGGCCCATGGTAACGGCAGTGCAGCCATTCACCACTTCACAACAATGTGGATATTTAATACTGCAGCTGGCGTGTTTCATGTCCAGATAATGGAGCCTCAGTTTCATCCCATCTCAGATATGGAGATCATCCCTCCTGCATTGTTACACAGCCAGCAGAGAAAAAGGAATGAAGGGATGGAGACCCATGAGAGAACAAAGACAAAGGGTCAAACCCTTTTGAAGAGGCTTACCATAAGATCAGAGGGCCTCTAACAAACAAGTCACTTGTATTGCACAAGAATACAGTTTAATACGTCCAGAAACTTCTACCCATACGTTTGCCATTTATAGCTTTTCATAGACAAAAACACATGACTGCAGTTATACAACTTGCAAGACAACCCAAAAAGAACTTATAATTTACAGTTGTAGTCAAAGAAGTCACAGAAAGAACACTGATAAAAGATGTTATGTCAAGAAACACAACTAAACTAAAACACACTGTTCTTTACCAGGGAATAAAAATCTAATGTTCTACAGCTCCACTGTCTACCAAACCCTGAAAATTACCGTTAAACCAAAACCATTAAAAAAAACTCCCTGACAACGAAATAAAGTTAATTTACTGCAAGCACCTCTGTAAAAGCTGAGGTTTGGCAGGTTGCTGGTTCATCTTTTAGGTTCATGGTAAATGCCAGGGAGGAAAGACATCAGCAGTTTTAACAAAGAGTCAATGAAAAGACTCTTGGGTAAAGTGGGTTTACTTGGTAAACATAATGCCTCTTGTGAGTCCCAGTGGCCTTGTCTTCATGGTACAAAGAGACAGGACCAAGTGCTCATATTATCCTGTGGCACTCAGGCCTGTTTTCAGGGGCGTTGCACATAAACCGGGGAAAAGCATGTAAACTGCTATCCAACCTCATGCGAGTCAACCATACACCCGAGAGGTTTGACAAGCAGACGTCGCTGAAGCCCAGCTGCGTTAGACAGGACAGACACCCAAAGGAGGTGCTCATGTCAGCTGTGAGCCATGCGATGAAAGGGGAGATAAACAAGTCTGACGCTGTTTGAACATGATAGTTATGCATGGTTTACCTGGGAAAAACAATTCAACTTGAAAACGCCTATCTGTGAATTTGGCATTTTCATGCATAAAATAAATTTGAAAAATCATATTTATTTTTACTAAAAACAAAAATGAAGCTTGATTTTGCGAGCGATTTCAGTGAGGACTCAAAAAACGTCTAAAATAGTTCAGAATTGGTTTCAGAATCTGACAAATGATCTTTGAATATTTCCTTCCTTCTGAAGATGACTTTGGTCATCTATAATGCAATACATAGAGAAAAAGAGAACTTAAAGACAAGTTTCAGTGGTGGAATGAGAAAGCAGTAGTCACGAGGGGAGCACACAAGAAAACACCAGTTATGTGGCTCTTTGTCATGTTCAGGTGCTGCTATTTGTTCTCACTGTGTCACTTGATCATTTTGACCTTGTGCCACGAACAACAGCTCTTAGCACTCGGGCTATCCCCTGCATGTTTAACAGCACGCCACCTAGTTCTAAGGGCAGATGGGGGTGGGCTGGATGAAGGAACAAGGGAGGGAGGGAGGGAGGGGGCTTTGTCAGAGGTTTATGAAGAGATTAAAAATGTTTTTTTGTGGATTACGGTGTGGTAATCTGTGTCGCCTTAACCAGGTCGCTTAGCGAGGAAACAAACCTGTGGCAAAGGTAAAAACCCGTCGGGGCACATACCTGAACCACTGGCACACATTCCTACCACGTATAAGAATTCAAGCTTGCTTCTACTTGTGTTTAAGGATCAGTGCAACACTGAAACAGTACGCAACACCTCAGTAACGTTGCAACAAAAGATGATTAGGGTGCTCCCATATTGCGAAGCGCATACCCTCTCTGCTGAATACTACTAATCAGTCATTTCTCTCTGTAAAGAAAACAGACCTCTCCTTATAAACAGCTTGCGTAACGTTTACCTCTGCCAGACATGGAAAAGCTTCAGTAAGATGGAATCCACTATAAGTGAGAAGCCACCTCCTCTCAAGGTAGAAGAATCAGTACATGGTTTGGCTAAATTGCAGGTAAACTTTCCCAAATTCAAATTAGGAGGACAACACGGTCAATCTTGATCTGATTGTTTTCACACTGCTCCAACTGAAAGTAATGTTTTTTTTTTGTTTTTTTTTTACCATGTTTGTATAAAGTTTCTATCGTGAAATATTTATTTACCATTTCTAACGACGGCCTTTGCTCCAGGAAAGCTGACTTAAAGCAAGACCTGTAAAAGCGATTCTTCCTACTGCATAGGCATCTTCTATCGATGCCTGAACAGAAACACATTCACTATGTGCTGCGTGCCTCAACATGAATGAAGTGAAAGGTAAAAATCAACTACTAGAGGCAATTCCCTCAGGACATTCTTCCAGCACTAAACAGTGAGACGATATGTAAAATGCAAATCAATATGCAACAAAAACAACCATAAATCATGTAACTGTATCTTTGATATGCCCTCTGACCTCAATTTTACCAACCTCTTTGGATACAACCTGCTTAGGTCAGTAGTCAAAAGACAAATGGTCAGTATCACAGAGATTTACTAAACAGCTAATTGGAGAATCTGGGTTTTTGGAAAAAAAGATAGGGTGGGCTTTATTACATTTCTCTTCAAACTATTCAAAACTACAATTTGTCAATGTAAAATGAAAGAAACCAGAAAAAAAGTCTAATTGAGTGGCCTTGATTTTTTCGAATAAAGGGAAAAATCAAAAATAAAATAAAGGATTTCTGGCATGGAGCTATATGACTGAACATGGTGTGAGTAACTGAGCTCGGTTACATGCTCGGTTGATTGTAGCTATGTCTACAGACGAACCGGTGCACTTAAATGGAAGAGAGTAGTCACTATTTACATGCATGAGAGTGGAATAAAGGTGCTGTCTGACATCTGAACCTTTATAGAAACTTTGTCTGTGGTGCATCACTGTCCTTCTAATTCAAACAACATTAACAGTATGGAGGCTCTCTTTACTACATGTTTGTCTTGAAGACGCAGTTTAAAAATGTGATTAAAAATTAATCTGACAAAAAACAAATTGTATTAAAAAAAAACTGAGTATGGGCAACATTATAATGCTGGCGTTTTCATAATTTTCTTAATGCTGAATGATACCTCACAGTTTAGAAACAACGGGGTGCCATTAATGCTCTGTCAGTGAGGGTCTGAGGACACCGTCAGAAACTATTTGGCTGTATTACAACAGCATAGCTCATTAGTAGCAGTCCTGTGAAATCTTTTTTATCTTACAAAAAAAACCCAACAAGCTTCTGAATTCTAACCCCCACCCACCCAACAAGTTTCTTTTTGCTGCAGTCTGCAGTCAAATGTCGGCAGTGATGTCTTCAGTTAGCTCAATCACACATGCAGTTATACAGAGAATTTCCTGCATGACACAACCGCTTTGCATGAATGAAAACAAATTGTTATGTCTGGAGGACATATTTATTGGAGCGAGTGCAGATGATGAACCCCATTCCAAAAGTGCCTTCACATCACATCAGCGGAGAAAAAAAACTAAACCAAAGGTGTGACTAAGAAAAACACTGCATGGGAAAGCACCTGATGCTCTTGCCTCATAATCTGAGGAGAAATTTCTGAGATGGTTTGATTTCAAACTCAATGTCAAGACATGCGTCAGAGATCTACAACTGAAGGATGACAAAGCAAAAGAGAACTTAGACCTTCATACACAAGTACAGCCAATAGTCCCTTTATTTCTGCTTCATTTTGGCTTGTTGCCGATTAGTCCAAAGGTACCAAATGTACTTTGAGTCCATGTAGATGACAGCAGCCAGTGTGGATAACATAATCTGACTGCGATTGTTAAGAAAAAACAGACTTGTCTCACATGTCACGCTGGAGTTGACTAAACTTGTACGTAGACCTGAGATGCTTTTTGCACAAACAGAAACTCAGAAGCCATTATTGTCACTGGTAAGTTTTAAGCAACAGATCTTCCATTAGTTTAACTCACCAAATGATTCTGGACATAAGAACAACACAGGCTTAGATTTACACACATTTCTAAGTCAAGTTGGGAAAAAAAGTGTGGGAATGTTCTTACTAACTTCTTACACACAGAGCTGTGTCGAAGCAAAGCTGAGAGTTGATGCCAGTAATCCAGACTGGCAACCAGCTGAGAACATTTTAAGATTTAGAAAAGCAAAAAGGACAACAAGAAAATAAAAAAGAGGCCCAGAACTGCTGGCATTGAACTACTAAGTAGCATTTTAAAAAGTTTTTAAAATAAAATCTAAGACTGTCAACATATGACATACAGTCTTGATTTCAAGATGAAGTATAAAAAGTTGAGTACAAATTCTGCTATTCTAAAAATGTCTTTAGACTTGTTTAAATAAAAAAAAGTGGAGGGTTCATGGAAAGTACAAACACTGCCCTTCCCTGATCTAAACGATACTGGATGGACGTATTGCAACAGCACCTTGGCCACTCACCGGCACAAATCAGCGAAGGCCTGAAAATTCAGCTTCTTCAACTTTTTCTCGCTCAGCCAGTAGCCGACTCTTCGGCCTTTCAGGAAAGTCTGCATCTCCGCTGGGCTCCTGTTCCTTCTGTGGATGTAAGGGATGCGACCGGTGGCTCAACCTGCACAGAAGAGAGCAGGGAATCACCGTGAAACGTAAGTCTCAAAACAGCCAACCAGGGCAACGAGAATAATCAACTTTGCCTCTCAGCCTGTGATACGTTGCCCTAACAAACTGGAGCGGCAGGTCTGACACACCTCTTTGACTCTCGTTTCAGACCGTAAAGCTACGATGGCTGTGCTTCAGCATCAGGGAGCCTCACACACTGACCCTCTTTTGCTAACTTCAGCTGCTAACGCTAGCTGGCTAGCTGTGTGGTGACAATCTGCATAGCTAACCGATGGCATGCCATTTAAACACGTAAACTGTATCGTTAAGAAGGCTGAGAATACGTATAATTACAGAGGATATTTACACGATTTCCTGGTGAAAAAAATAATGTACGGAGCTAGCAGCCACCAGTTAGCCAATAGGTAAAGCAACTGACCAAACTATAGTAGAGCTGGCTGCGAAGGGCTATGGTGAGCTAACTAACCCAGTAGTTTTTATAGCACAGTCCCACCCCTGTATTCGTGTCCTCTTCAAAAACTAGCTCTGAGTGTGTCCCATTTTCAGTCCGTCCGCCGGAGAAGGAGAAAGAAGCGAGGTGACAGATGACAGGAACAGCTGGACTCACGTTGAGATGTTCTTGGTGTTTCTCTCTCTGGCTCTGAACTGACTGCACACACCCAGGATCCTGGAGACTGCCGATGCCTTCATAAGCCCCTCGGAAAATACACTCCCTTTTCGCGCGACGTCACTTTGCCCTCCTGTTTCCGCGCCTTCAGGCTTTAATGAATGATTAACGCAACTGTTTTGGGGTAAATTATTCATATTGCCCCAGTGAATCAGGACATTTCCCCCAAATACTGTCACTTCGACAGCGAATGTCTTTGGTTTTAGGAGATTTATAGTACAAATAATCAAATATTATGCTTATCATACAGCTAGAAGTACAATTTGGAGAAGCGGGAGTAAGCGTGGCAATCTACTTGTTGTTTTCCAACTGATCGATGAAGTGATTATTCCAAATGTTCCTTGTTTTGACACTTCACTTTAATTTAGTCCGGCTAGGTGCTCAAGCTGGCCAAGGCATCATTTCCCATTGCATTTGAACAGCCATGTTGTGGTCAGAGGGAAGTTCAACTATGATGTTCAACAGTTCAACTAATTGCAGAGGAACAGCAGAGACAAATAGAAATAATCGTGTCATCTGATGTGTGACAATATATGCTATAAAACTCGCTGCACCTTGTACTGTACTTTACAATCATGCAGTCCTTCTGTGTAATCCTTATTTCGGGGAATGCATGTGACCAAAGCACCACCTGCTGGGAAATGACTGCAGATGTAATGTCACAGTGAAAAACAGCATCTATGCCTTGGAAACTTGGACACATTTAAACAATAATAACGCATAAACACAAATCAAAATATGAATACAAGTTTGTCTGTACATTAAAGGGATATAGAACTAATCACCAATGTTCAAATACGTGAATATAAAACTTTGTGTTAGGCAAAGTATAAATTTTGATGTAGCTGCTGAAGTATATTGATGTAGAAATAGGGGTATATAGACGATTTCAAGTAGAAAATTCTATCTATCTATCTATCTATCTATCTATCTATCTATCTATCTATCT